GAATGTGGATACAATTGGTTTGAAATCTACTGTTATTGAAGCAAGTTCACCGTTTTGCTTGATGCATAGACCACATGATGGCGCTGTGCTGATCTTGATAATATCGTTGTGTGGCACTGGTGTATAGAGTTGAGTTTGTCAATCAACGGATTTGGTTGTCAGCTCTGAAGAACCGACAGCACAATTAGGCACTCAAATGAAAAAACGTTTTTTTTTTTAATTAAAAAAAAAAAAAATAAATAAAAAAAGATTGAGGGGGGGGGGGGGGGGGGGGGGTTAAACTACAGACACGAGACCTACAACAAATCAAACAAACTAAACCATATTACCCCGAAGAGATAATAATATGTTAGGTTGAAGGTATGGTTCCATCTTATTCCTCTAAAATTTACACATTTCTTCTCGTAATCTAGATAGTACGATAATACGGCCTCGATCACAACTATTTTTAGCAAAGAAATTCCGTACAACCAACGAGCGGTTCTTTGCTATTTCTAAATTACGCGACTGTAGGAATTTGGTTCAGAGTTCAGGCTTTCGTACCTGATAGCCTGAACTCTGAACGAAAGTAGTTTTTACCTCTGAGTAGAGAGTGGCAAATGTAGATAGACGACTTGTCAAAGGACATTAACGCCGCGGGGGAATCGAACCGCGAAACATTAAATCCAAAGTTCGGAGACGAATCCGCTAGACCACAACACTCCAATGTGACTTAACAAGAATTTGTATTAGGGGAAGATGCCGAATGGAGAATTTTGCTCTTCTTGTCAAAGCTTCATTTCCAACCCCTTCTCTCTCTCTCTCTCTCTCTCTCTCTCTCTCTCTCTCTCTCTCTATCTCTTTCTCTCTCTCTCTCTTTCTCTCTCTCTCCCTTTCTGTCCCACTCTCTCTCTCTCTTTTGCCTATGTTTGCGTGCTGTCTGTCTGTCCGTCTGTCTACTGCCCATTCTCTCTCTCTCTCTCTCTCTCTCTTGCCTCCCCGTTCTTTTTCATTATGGTTGGGAGGGTAAGAGCTTTCGTGTTTCCTGTAGCTAGATATACGCCACTGGAACTTATAACTCGTTACCGAAAAAATATGACCCTGGTAATCCTGGAACGACTTATATGGCATGGTCAAGGTGGTGGATAAACACAATAACTTTGCAAACATGCAAAACTTTGCATGGAATTATGACGGTTTTATGTGTGACTTTGAAAGATCCCTTTTCTAATAAAGACCTAAGGAATGCGTTATGAAATTAAGAAGGTGTGTGTGTGTATGATGCAAATATTCACATATGTAAAGGATTCACACTGGTGTATTACCATGCTGACAACAGCCCACTGTAATACATCAAGTCATGTTTTGCATATCCTTGCAGTCAGGGGCGACGGAGCGTCTTTCAACGTTAGGGAAAGGGGTGCACCTATCAAGGGAAACCTAAAAAGGGAAACCTAAAAAGCGAAAACATACAATTGTTAGACTTTGGTATAAACCCCTACATTGTGATTACATTATCATGGATGTCCAAATGTTCTTACTTAAATTGAGGGGGAATGTCGCTAGATGCCATTTCCCCCCGAACCCCCCCCCCTTTTTTTGTTGTTACTCAAGGGGGTGTGGTTGTGCTCCCTATCACCCAATTATGAGGTTTAATACCTTACCAAAAGGGCATAGCGCTTTGACTTGGTTTCAAACTTGGGACCTCACACCTCACATTACAACTATTACACAGACAATTACACTATACTCATAACAAATGCTTATAATTACACATGATGATTTGACATAGGTAATTCAAAAATGAGAAATGAGAAGTTAGATATACACCCAGCATTTATTCGGTTTATACAGATTAAAGCAACATTCCTTTAACAAAGACCGCTATTCGTAAGAACCGCTATCCATAAACACCACTCTTCATAAGGACCATTATTTATAAGGACCACTATTCATAATCGAAGAAGAGGGTCGCTATTCATAACATGACGAGAGGGTCGCTAGTAATGAGCCAAAAGTGAGGTGGTTATTCAAAGGGGTCGCTATTCATAATAAGAAAAGAGGTCCGCTATTCATAATATGAGACGTATTATACATGTACGTTAAACGTTTTAAACATCAATAGCGGTCCTTATGAGTAGTGACCGTCAAACTGAATTATGAATAGCGACCCTCATCTCACATTTTTAGTAGCGGTCCTTATGCTTTTATCAAAAGAGACCCCGTTTCCGTTGTATGAATAGCGGTCTTTACACTAGCGAGGTTACACCTTGAATCTGCCTGTGTTAATTAGCATTGCATTGCAGCAAAAAGAATATCCCATAAATATGAATCTAAAAAGATTATGAAAAAAGATGAGTATAAATGACATTCAAATTATACATTAACTACGTCTAATATCAATATGCAACGTGGTCCCGAGAATATATTTTGAAAGAAGTAGTAAGTTATAATGCACTGTAAGAGCAACGAAGTGATATACTGGTATCACACATATATTTGGTGTTATCGAAGCATCAAACCTATCTAAAGTTCCCTTTTACACGTATTGAAAAGAGGAGGAGCGTCAGAAATGTATGTGAAAGCATTATAAGACCTTACCAACAAAAAACATACAGATATACTTCATTAAAACTAAGGCATTAAGTACTTCTAATATCAATATGCAATGTGATCCAGAGTATATATTTTGAAAGAAGTAGTAAACGAAGTGATAAACTGGTATCACACATGTATTTGATGTTATCGAAGCATCAAACCCATCTAAAGTTCCATTTTACACATATTGAAAAGGCGAAAAGCGTCATCAGAAATGTATGTGAAAGCATTACAAGACATTACCAAAAACTAAACTTACTGATACACTTTGTTAAAACTAAAGCATTGGTTGGTCATCACAATATAAGTAAATAAATGAGTTGAAATTCATCATGTATATTATCCAAAAAGGATACAAAAAGATAGTTTATACCAAAACATGTCATTCTATTTGATAAGATATATTTTATCATTTACAGAAAAACTAAACATACATGTACGTATAATGTGACAAAACATTTTTGCTACAACTGAATGACATTGGAACTTAACACATACATGAAGCTAAAGATATTTCCTTCAATATTGAAAACTTGAAAATCGCACTACCCCTTGAATCTGCCCTGTTACTTATCATTGCATTACAGCAAAATCAACATCCTATAAATATGAATATACAAATATTGTGAAAAAAGAATCAGTATAAATGACGTTCAAATTATACATTAAGTACTTCTAATATCAATATGCAATGTGATCCCGAGTATATATTTTGAAAGAAGTAGTAAACGAAGTGATAAACTGGTATCACACATGTATTTGATGTTATCGAAGCATCAAACCCATCTAAAGTTCCATTTTACACATATTGAAAAGGCGAAAAGTGTCATCAGAAATGTATGTGAAAGCATTATAATGCATTACCAACTAGATGGAACTTCAACTGCGCGCAGTCGAAATGATGCCTCCGTCATAGAGCAATTTTACAAACAAAAACAGAAGAAATTTTTCAAATTCAAGTTCAATTGTAATCCATTAACAGTTTCTCAGAATATCGTGATTACAAGCAATTTCTCATATACATATATGACCCTTTGATCTTTGACCTCATGACCCTAACATCTACTCAGTTCATTGGCTCTACAAGATGTCCCGAGTTAAATAGTAATCCATTTGTCAGTTCTAATGAGAATGCGTTCACGAGCTATTTTTGCATACATAATGAGCCGCATGACCTTTGACCTTGACCTTATGACCCCAAAATCTAATCAGTTCATCGGCTCTGCAAGTAACATACATGACCTAATTTTGGCAGGAATCCATCAATCGGTTCTTCAGATAACGCGATCACGAGCTGTTTTTGCATACATAATGAGCCCTGTGACCTTTGACCTTTGAACTCGTGACCCCAAAATCTAATCAGTTCATCGGCTCTGCAAGATACATACATGACCAAAGTTTGGCAGGAATCCATCAATCGGTTCTTCAGATAACGCGATCACGAGAACGGGACGTACGGACGGACGGACGGACAACCCGAAAACATAATGCCTCCGGCTACTTCGTAACGGAGGCATAAAAACTAATCATACATATCAACTTCATAAAAACTAAAGCATTAGTTGGTCATCACAATATAAGTAAATAAATGAGTTGAAATTCATCATGTATACTATACAAAAAGGATATAAAAAGATAGTTTATAGGAAAAACATGTCATTCTATTTGATAAGATGTATTTAATCATTTACAGAAAGACTAACCATACATGTACGTATATGCAATAGAACATTGTTGCTACAAATGAATGACATTGGGATTTAACACATACATGTAGCTTAACATATTTGCTTCAATATTGAAAAATAAAAAATAGTACTACCCCTTAAATATGCCCCTGTAACTTATCATTGCATTACAGCACAAAAAGAATCTCCCGTGACTATGTATATAAAAAGATTATGAAAATAGACGAGTATAAATGACATTCAAATTATACATTTAAGTACTTATAATTCCAATATGCAATGTTGTCCCGAGAATATATTTTGAAAGAAGTAGCAAGTTATAAGGCACTTTAAGAGCATAATATATCTCCCAACGAACTGATATACTGGTTTAAACACATCTATTTGGTGTTATTAAAGCGTCAAGCCTATCTCAAGTTCCCCTTTTATTTACACATATTGAAAAAGCGAAAAGTGTCATCAGAAATGTATGTGAAAGCATTATAAGGCATTACCAAAAACTAAACATACATATCAACTTCATTAAAACTAAAGCATTGGTCGGTCATCACAATATAAGAACAGAAATAAGCTAAAATTCATCATGTATTTAATACAAAAGGATATAAAAAAGATAGTTTATAGGAAAAACATGTCATTCTATTTGATAACATGTATTTAATCATTTACAGAAAGACTAACCATACATGAACGTATATGTAATAGAAAATGCTTGCTACAAATTAATGACAATGGGACTTAACACTTACATGTAACTTGACATATTTGCTTCAATGTGGAAAAATAAAAAATAGTACTACCCCTTAAATCTGCCCCTGTAACTTATCATTGCATTACAGCAAAAAAGAATCTCTCGTAAAAAGATTATGAAAATAGCCGAGTATAAATGACATTCAAATATTATTTTAAGTACTTCTAATATCAATATGCAATGTGGTCCCGAGAATATAGTAAGTTATAATGCACTTTAAGAGCATAATATATCTCCCAACGAAGTGATATACTGATATTACACATCTATTTTTTTAATTTTTTTTTTTCTTCAAATGATTTTATTTATTATGCAAAAAATAGTACAAGAATAATTATATCACAACAAATGTGCAATGAAACGAAAAATATGATAGAAAAAGCACAAGAAAAGAGGAACTAACATGAAGCAGAGCTTGTTGAAGTGTTTGTTCCTCAGATACTCAATACGAGTAAAAGGGAACTTGAGATAGGTTTGATGTTTTGATAACACCAAATATATGTGTAATTAAAGCGTCAAGCCTATCTCAAGTTCCCTTTTTATTTACACATATTACAATTCGAAAAGTGTCATTAGAAATGTATGTGAAAACATAAAAGACATTACCAAAAACTAAACATACAGATATAATTCATTACAACTTAGGCATTGGTTGGTCATCACAATATAAGAAAAGAAATAAGCTAAAATTTATCATGTATATTATACAAAAAGATATTTTATACAAAAAACATGTTATTCTCTTTGATATGATATGTTATATAACCCATAACCTTATAACTTTTTATCACTACAGAAAATCATATATAATAATAATAATAATCCGTTTTTTTATATAGCGCTCAATACACCGATCCAACGATGTGCCTAAGCGCTTTACAGATATATGATACAGGTATCACCCTTCACCAGTTGATATTACATGTGACATATTACACGTGATACTTAAAATAGAGACTTATAACATACATAATATGAACAATTACAAGTGGATAAATGATGATGATAAGTTCAAAAAAATAATAACTTTCATTGCATTTTGTAGGTGTACAAAATAAGAAATCATTAAGGACTTGGAAAAATATAGTACTATGTACTAGTAACAAAGGAAAATGATGCAAGTATGCAACGTCTCCTCAATGAATACATTAGAACTGATAAACACATTATTCTTAACGTAATCTCTGATATATAGAAGCCCTTGAATATAAAGGTTTTATGTTTTAGCAAGTACAATAAACATTAATAAGAACACTTATCAATATATGGATAAACAATGATTAATGTATAAATGTACATGCAAAATCAAGATTTTTTGTTTGCATATTCAAACTGGAAGACTAATTATTTATGAAAGACATGAACCAATTTCTAATAGCAAATGAATCAATGAGATATACATGTTTAACTCATATGCGATATGTAGCTTGCTGAGTATATTTGCTATTTTTTTTGCTTTTTTTTAAAATCATATAAAATATATTGATTCAGTCTCGCGAGTAAAATATTCTCCATTCAATAAAAATCTTACACGATTCCCTGAACAGTGATAAATGTTATGTTACAAGTTTTCTTGTTCGCACGTCACATAATAAGCTAGGAGGTTTGCCTGAGAGACCTAAACAGTTTCATACAAGGCCTCGTCCTAAGAAGAGTTGCGATTGATCCAAATTAATCGCAAGTCCTCCAATCAATCGTAGGCCTTTGCAGCCCTGTATCTCTTATGTGCATATTTTTTCTTCTCTCAAATCTAATACATATTGTACAAATCTTTCATACTAAGCAAAATTAACACATTTTTTTTTTTTAAACTAAAGCCCTATTCAGATATGCACTGTGGTACCGTCTCCTTAAAAAAAAAAAATTAAGTTACATGTAAGTAAATATAGAGGACCTTTGTTGCGTGCAGTTGACATTGGTTTATAAGTAAGGAAACCGCAGCAGTTTATACGAGGTGGTATACCGCGTCATATGTGGATCTTATCTGTGTGTAGAAGAAACCCATTCTGGAATATGATCCTTATCACTCCTCGATCAAGGAAAGCATGATACGATGAAGATAAATGTATTGGTACTGCAACGAGAATATAAAAACAGGAAAATAGTTACGTCATGTATCAGCGAGAGGCTAAGAAAGAGAGAGAGAGAGAGAGAGATGGGAAGAGAGAGAGAGGGGAAGAGTAAGAGAAAGAAAATCATAGAGAGAGAGAGAGAGGGAGATAGAGAGAGAAAATTTACACATAAGGGCCACGGTATTGCTTTAATGTGTGGATTGAGAATCATGTATAAGTATTTACATGTGTATGGTTCATACTAATAATAATAACAGTGTCAACTTATAGAGCGCACACACCGTCCAGGGATGATCATGGCGTCATAGATCAATAGATGTTCATTGTATATATGGACAGAAGAAGATTCTTTTCTCCAAGATGAAATAACGTTAAAAATGTAGTGATTTACTCCAAATAAAATATCTAATTATTTTCTGTGAAAAAACGCATCATTCGGAAAAATAGGAGAAACATCATTTTTCGTCACATGACCATATGTGGCGAACCTAGATTAAAGTCTGACTAAAGGAATGTATGCACTTTAGGTGCCGGACAGGGGCTCGAACCTACCACCTTAGCATATCAAGCTAAGTGATTAAATCTCTCAACTACGAGAAATCTATTATATTCTTCAATTTCATCATGTACTTCTCCATGTCTAAAAGTGGAATTTCGTTTTGATACCAAATTAAGACAGGAGAGAACAAAATTACTTGTCCCTTACCAGTGTTTGAACTAGGCTGGTTCTCTGCTCTCTGAGCTTCGCTACAGTACCAGCGATGTCGATGTAGTCTGTAGCAGTGGATCGTTGTATGGCATTCATTAACATATCAGCAGCGATGAATGTTCCTGTCCTTCCGATACCAGCACTGCAAAAAAAAATATATAAGACGTGTAGTCGAAAAGTCTCCTGATGACGGATAGTCAACCTGTTCGAAACGTCGAGCCTCTCATCCTCTCCAAGCGCTATAGTTCTCCTTAGAACTATAAGCTAAAAAAGATAACAAACAGTCCTTTTCAGGACTACACACCCCCAAGAAAGATTACCGAGTCAGAGTCCTTTTCAAGACTCCTCAATCCTCTCTCTCTCTCTCACATGGTGCACCCGCAAGCCTACTGTAAAAGTCAACCTGTTTTGAAAGTCGAGCTTTGCTTGCTCTCTCATAACCTTATTCAATACCTGGTTCACCAGTCCTTTTCACAACAAGCTCTGCTTTTCTATCGGCTCTGCCACTTTATCTCTCAAAGGAATAGTTGAGTTCTTGTTCAGACAGCAAATGCCTTCTAAGTGCATTGTTATTGCTCGTATTCTTATTTATGACATTTCTAGTGCTCTGATAGGACCTAAAAATGCTATGAAGGTAATTTTAGACCCTCAAAAGTGTGAAATGTAGATCATACAATTCAGCTCCACCTTAACAAAATATGGTGACCGTTAGTTCAATAACAATACATGGGACGGCTGTATTATAGCCAACACGAAAAAGCCAACACAAAGTCAACATCGACATTGGCTGTAATAAAATATGAGGCGCTATCTTGTTCTTTCAACGGCTGGTTCAAATTATCGAATATTTGTGGGGCCGCAGATACTATAAAACGTTATATTTATGTATTATTCAGCCGTCTCTGAACCGATTTTGATCAAACAAAGATTATTTTGTCATTTTAATTCTATGTACTTTCAAATTTGACACTCGGTTTTGTATTATCTCACAACAAATTAGTTCGTGTAGCGCCCTCTGCAACATAACTCAACTATCCATTTTAATTGATATGAAGGTCAATTTTAGGAATAGTGTGTACCGTTATTGTATTGTATGTACATGTATATTATAATCATTTTTCAATATGCTGTTACACTCTTTGTAAAATGAGATATTGTAAAAACCAATAACAAATATAAACAATCCTTTCGAGACTCCAGTCATGAAAGACCTCTTACCGAATAATATCATGAACTATGAACTACAAGAGACTGCGGGAGACTACTCTTGGTAAATGAATGTAAATATATTAATGTAGACCCACCGCACACGATCTGCTTTCGATAGGGAACACATATACCCTCAAGATAAACTGCTCACTGGTTGAGTTCTAACATGTACCAAATTCCCAACTTCTATTTGTTATCGGTTGCACAGCATCTGGTCCTGCATCAACTGGTCTGCAATGGTATTCCTCTACTTACAGACCTCAACCAAGGACCAAACACAATACGTATCTGTAATCCTAACCCTCAAAGATCACATTAATCCCAAAATGCAACATCGCGCGACCCTAGTCCAGAGCAAATCGTCTGTAGGGCATTAACTCATAAGTACATGTACTTGAACACAGAATAAATATCATTTTGCCTTCAAACAGACTAAATGTTGGATCAACATTTGTTGTTACCTACCTGCAGTGAACGATGATTGGACCGGTCAGTGCCCCATCTTCCTGGCTAGTCATCTTGACCTGATAGAGTAGCGCGACGAGAGGGGCAGTGGACGCGGGCACGCCATGGTCGGTCCAGGCGAGGTATTGGTAGTGGGTCACGGTGAGTTCTGTACCCTTCTGTTTGGGATGGGAAAGGAATCCATTTTTAGTGTATCTCATTAACAGTCAAGCTTTATGATGATTGTGATGTTTGGGCATAGGAAAAAACATTGCAGACTGACAACTTTCTCGGGGGCTATTTTCCCTAATTTCCCCCCGATTTAAGTGACTTTCCTAAAAAAAAAAAAAAAATTAAATTCTTAACTGGAAAGAAAATGGGTACTTGTTTTGGGGGGGTTTTCACTTATTTCGAGGATATTTTGGAACCCTGTAAATGTGACGCTTATACAAGGCCTTATATACCTTTCCTATGAGTAGAGTGCGCTGAATGAAGTGCTCGGTCTGCTTACTACCAACAAGGGTGACCGTCACGTTGCCATGCAGATGGGGCTTTTGTCCAGTTGGCCAGTAGTGCTCGCATTTGGTCTGCAAGAGGGAAAGCATTTCATTTGGAATTAATGTCTAGCTTTGATAGTTTGCAGATTCATCTTATATATTGTGTTGATATCAATATCGTCATAAATGAAATCAATATAATAGTGATGGTGCTAATTTATGAATTGCCAACATCGTCATCATCCTCATTTCCGTTATGTTCACCACCACTATCATAATCACCATCATCCTCATAATAATCATCTCCACCATCACTAAATCACCGTCATCACCACACCACCAATACCACCACCACCATCATCATCATCACCATCACCTTTAACATCACTATCAACATATGACCACCGGAATTATCATTATCATCATCATCATCATCATCATCATCATCATCACTATCCTAACTTTTTCTTGTATAACTAAAACAAATAATATCATCATCATCATCCTCATCCTACCTACCATTAGTATCACTACCATCACCATCACCATAAACATCATAATATCATCACCCCATACTCCCTCTACAAACTAAAGCAACATCATCATCAATATGATCACTGTAATAACAATAATTGAGAAATGTATAATGCGTACTATATCCACGCTGATGGTACTCACAGCGCTTACAATCAAATAATCAACCTCATCCTCATCATCATCAACCCCCTCATTACCAACATCATCTTCCCCCTTACCTTTCCTCCTTCCACCAATGCAGTCATCATCACAATGGTACTGGCCTTGGTCTCCCAAACCATCTCCCAGAAGTGGTCAATGGTGTTTGGCAAGGGTCCTTGGGTCGCAATGTACTTCCTGTTTCCTTGATCATCCTAACATTAAAAAGAGACAAGGTCAGATATAAATATATGGGGAGAGTCGATAGCTCAGTCGGTAGAGCAGTGGTCTCATAATCCGGTGACCCGGGTTCGAAACCAAGGCGATGCACCAGTGCCCTTGGTAAGGCATTAATCCTCATTACCAGGTCCCTCGGAGAGGACCTAAAGCCGTCGGCCATCTGGTTGCTTACTTACAAGCATTTATGCTTTCTTAGCAGTCAGGTAAAATAACCACACCACCACATCCTCTGTCAGATACAATGAACGATTCAGCGAAACGGTCATGACATTTCTTCTAATTTAAGATGATATGCTTTACATTTCTGTATATTATAATCCAGAGCTTTAATAGTGAATAAGCACAGGACCTTTGTTATGTGGAGTTACCATCCATTTACACATTTATATCATCAAATACAGACATACATAGACATCACGGCCCGTTATATTTTGTGCTCTTTCTTTCCTAGCTTCTGTTCATTCTTTGGTCTGATTTCTGCTTTTTGTTCATTATTATGATTTCAATCGTAAATTCACGTTATCTTTTGTGTGCTTTGAACCTTTGTTCCTTTAGCTTCCATTTAAATTGTCTGATTCTGGCTTTCTGTTCATTCTTACGTTTTACTCTGATGAATACAAGACAAAAAGCTACAGTATGCCTGTATCCGTTACTTGTTTTGATAGTGTAAACAATTGTTTGTTATGGCAAGGCATTTACCGCAATGTAACTTGCATTGATGTAATCGTTACCGGCTTCTCCTTTCAGTTGGACTCTGTTGTAGTCATCTGCAGGAAAGAAATACAATCAAAGCTATACATATTGTTGATGTTTTTGATCAGAGTTTTACATTAAGCCTAAAGGCGACAAAATATAACCATAATGTTTTTAATGTGTATAAGAAAAGAAGAGGGGTAAACACTTTTAAAAACTTCATGTATATATGATTACAAGAAAATAGTGGACAAACGTTGACCTATTACACTGCATTAATAACTGCATTTACATATAACAATTAAATCATTGACACCCTTATCATTTTAGTAATTTGTCTAAGTATTTAAAAAATAGATGTTTGTATCGATTAATATTTCTTGAGAATGTGACATATTAAAGGCACACCGTCCTACTTGCAGCTACTTGCTCCCTCTATATAGAAAACTTCCCCAATCGGTGCCTGTTGGTCCCCCATGATTCTCTTTTTCTTATGTTAGTTGAGAGCTGAGTTAATGAGATAGCCACCTGTCAGTGACCTCGCTGTGTGGTCTAATCCCTTCTGGCTCAGTAGTGTTGACGGTCTTTAAAGCTTAAATCTAAGAATACTCAACAAAGCCCTTAATTAAATCAGTCCACCTATCATTCAAAAACCGACAAATTTAGGAGTATGAATAATTAAGTTATTACATGTCATGTAAGGCTTGTATGTCAAAACTATAAAAATGCATGTATCCTCTGGTTTCCTCATAAGTCAAATTTCCCTTTGTTATTGGAACTAAATACATATTTATACTTGCAACATATCTTTAGATAAATATTATTGAAAACTGAAACTTTGAATATAAAGCACCGAAAAGAACAGAAGGTCTGAATTACTTACAAGGCAAGATGTTCCTGAATCTATTCTTATCATCATTTCTGGCATTTCGAGCCACAGTCACCGCTCGAATCTTTTCCATTGCTGGCAAACTCTGAAAGAAAGAAACGAAATATCCACATCCATAAGTCAAACAATCTATTAGAAGGGAAAACGTCTGAATTTATTAATTTGACAATTCTTTTTAATTTATGTGCAGTTTATTCAAACACAAAGAACAGCAGGATTATGACCTTATTCACTTTGCCAAATAGACTCGGTCATGTAAGCCGACTTAAACCAAAAAAGTTTAAAGAGAAGGTTTAGTTATGGGAAGAGATGAACTATCATTTGTAAGCGTTATCATTGTTATTATGCAAGTGTGGAAGAACATCAGATAAAAGATTTTCTTCGGTGTACAGTGCTTGTAACTTTACAAAGACTGAGCCAAATTTCTTATCACGTTGATGATTCCAGAACCTTGCAGTATACACCGATACTTATATGCTATATGATCAACCTTTTCTGATCGATTTCACACCGTTTTTTCACAGTGCAATTGCATGACCAGAATTCAACTTTATTTTTGCTTCATCGGTGGTCTTGTCTCTTAGGTCTGTAGTTGGTCTAGTGTCTGTCTTGTTGGTATAAGTGAGGTATTAGGGATGCAAGAGGGTTCTAGGTTACATGCTGGGTTTTAGTTTACACACGTGGTTTTGTGTTACATGTAAGGTTTTAGGTTACATGTAGGGTTTAGGTTACATGTAGGGTTTTTAATTACGTATAGGATTTGACATTACATGTAGGGTTTTAGATTACAAATACCGTTTTGTGTTACATATAGGGTTTTAGGTTAGATACTGGGTTTTAGGCTACATATAGGTACATTTAGGGTTTGGGGTTACTTACAGGGTTGTGTGTTACATATAGGGTTTTAGGTTACATCTTAGCGTTTAGGTTACATAAAGGGTTTGTGGTACCTAGAGATTAGGTCACATCTAAGGTTTTAGGTTACAGGGTATAATGTTACGGTCAATCAGTATGTTATTTTGAACAGGGAGCAATTGTTGCCAGAGCATATGTCATTTGACCTATGGTAGGTAGACTTCTTTTAAAGGTGAAAATGAATCATCTTGTGTAATTATCAGAATTGAACAATTTAAAATTAAATAAACACAGATGAATGCATGAAAATATTAAAATAAATATATATAAATACTTATGAAAATGAATGAGAAAATAAAAAAACTAAATAAATGACTAAATAACTGAATAAACATAAATGAGTATATGGATAGAGAAACAAATGAATAAACAAATTAATGAATGAATAAATATACAATAAATGAATCAATAAACAAAATTGTAAATACTTACGTTGTATTCATCACTGAAGCCATCATTGTTGCGAGCAGACATCTTTGCAACATGTTGGGCAAACATAATCTTCTTGCTAGGACTGAATTTAAATATAGCATGAAGCAGAAGCAAAATAAAAAAAAAATGACAGTTTTAAATTCAATCCATTTGATTCTAATCTGTAGAAAAATGAAAAATGAAATAACTAATTAACTGAAATCATAACTTGTACGAATCCGACATGATTTATCATGCATATACGCTTTGTCAGTAGAAAGATTATGTCACAAATAGACATTACGCTATTGTGCCTTCTGGTTAATACAGTACAGAAATGACGAGGTAAAATATCCTTAGAAATATGTTGCAAAATGTAATGTGTATATACATGGGAAATGGGAAAAAAAAACATCCACAAACGACGATTGCCTGTTCCCATACACTTTCTCCCTGATCTGTGAAACATGATACAGATATGGGATGAGCCCTGTGCTCATTCAGTTTAATTTCCCCACACCGATATGTTTACAAGGATTATAATGCCGTAGATGTAAATGTATGTTCAAATGGACTTTACCGGAGCCTGATTATGTACAAGCTCTGCTTTTATTTACACTATTCAGAATTTACATTGTTTTGTTATTGTCTCTTGCATCTATAATTATTTACCATGCTTACACTGTACTTGAGTTAAGTGAACTACCTGTACTGTTTTGCTACTACTATGCTTGTATGAAGCTAGCGAGGTAGCTTACCGTGAATGTGTGGTCGCAGGTTGGTGGACTTGGGCTGAGGTCCCCTCGTTAGGTGGTATCGTGGAGTAATCCGGTATGTTCGTGAACGAGTGCTCCATCATTCGCGGCTGCCTGTATGCGTACGTCGTATTTACTCCATCGCTGATCAGCACCCTCTTCATAATGCCGTTGCCATTACTATACATGTAGCCAATGGGATATACATTATTGTCGTCAGAGTGCATACCACCATTTGGTTTTCCGCAGCTGTTATTGAAAGATGCAAAAATGAAATTATTCTTAGAATAGTTCTGAATGAAATAATTGGGCATTAGGACACACCTTTTTCAGACCTATATTCACTAGAAGGTAAAAAAAATGGTCATATCATGGCAATTCGACTATCCATTATAAACTGGACATTAGAACACACAGGCACGTACGCAGGGGGGGTGTTTGGGGGGTTAAACCCCCCTTTGGTATTTTTATGTGTGTAAACCCCCCTAAAAAATCCCTAAAACCCCCCCCCCCCCCCCCTTTGGATTTTTTTTTTTTTTTAATTATTAAAAAAAAAAAAAAAAAAAAAAAAAAATTACCCCCATGGCTGACCTAAGAAAGGAGACCTTACCCCCCCCCCCCCAACGGAGCGAAATGTCAAATTTTCAAATTTCGAGACCAAAAAAAAAGAAAAAAAAGTGTCCTCTTACCCCCCCCCACTGAGCGACTTTTCAGCTGACTGAGTCGTTGCGATTTTTTTTGGACTCCCAAAAAAAAAAAAAAAAAAGTGTCCGCCTACCCCCCCCCCCCCCCCCCCCCCCCCCCCCCCCCCCACGAGCGACTCTTCGGCTGGCTGAGTCGTTGCGATTTTTTTTGGACTCCCAAAAAAAAAAAAAAAAAAAAAAGTGTCTGCTTACCCCCCCCCACTGAGCGACTTTTTGGCAGGCGCGATTTTCAAATTTTCCTGAGTCGTTGCGAAATTTTGGACCCGATTTTAAAACCCCCCCCCTTGAAAAAATCCTGCGTACGCCACTGAGAACACAGACTGTTGTCATCAAAGTATATGACATTCACTGGTTTTCCACATTGTGGTTAATTGAAACAAGAAAGAGAGTTACATGTACATGTATGCGTTTCATGAGTTCGTTTGTCGATGCATTTTTTTTTTTGCTGCTGATCCAAAAATGGATGTGGTAATGCACAGCAATTAGTTTGTGTATGTATATTATTTAGCTTAATTCTTTATGATATTACAAGATTCTTGCATTAACCCACACACACACACCCTCCCACATACCCACACACCTCCCCCCACAGATGTATTCTAACAGTAGTGACTCACCATCCGAATCCCATGGCCATGAAGATGGCGAGGATGGTGAATACGATGATGACTAGGACAGTTGCCGGGATGACAAATATTTCTCTGTCAGGATCTGAAATCAATAGTGGATAGAGATAATTCTTAACAGCAGAAAAAAATTTGAAACAGACATGTCAAAAACAGTCTCATATTATGCCTGATAATATATTGTGCCATTAGTTCTTTCCAACAATATGCATTTCGAATTAAACATCTTACATGAATTCAAAATCGAGGCCATTTATCCACTCTGGCAATGTCTAAGCAAACAGCACAGAAGAAAAAAAAACACACAGGAACGTGCTGGTGTTGCAAAACTGATTGTACCAACAAAGTGTTTACTATTATTAATATCTAAATCATTTTCACCTCCCATTTGTACAATATGACCGACACATAACAAAATCCAAACTAGCGAGGCACGCTTATGTATCGTTTATCTTGTACATGTATATGTATCTTGCTAAGTTATATATATTTTTGCTACACATTTTAGAACAAACATTGTGTACAAAAGATTTAAAGGGTGTACATACCTGTTCTAAATAGCGAGCTAAATTCAGTATCCACATACTTGCCGTCAACACCATACGCTCTAATAGCAAATCTGGTTAAAAAAGAACACAGATAAGAAAATTGTTCGATTTAAAAGTCATGAATATACCATATGACTTTACTTGATTTTGTTGAAATGCTGAGGCTTCAGCCTCGGTTACAAATACCATTACAAGCTGCTACGAACGCCGTACAAACAATTTCAGACCACTTCGTAAGATCTTCTTATGAAGGCCACACGAAACCAGCTTTTCGTAGGCCGTTCTGAGGCCGTTCTGAGACCGTTCGTAATTTCGCAGATTGGTCGATGGTCTAAGCCAAGATTTGTTAAATCCCAGACAAATTACTCCTCTCTTCGTAAGGTGCCCGTAAGAACGTTGTAAAAACAATGTAGGGACCTCGCAAGATATCCATACATTTTGTAGGGTCGGGAGACAATTCTAGAGGCCTCAAATTCTTACGATGTTCGTAAGAACGTCCTAAGTTGTTCATAAAGGGCTCTTTTGGCGTTCCTATGGCGCTCGTAAGGTGAACGTACACAATTTGTGCATGTTATGCAGCGCTTCTTTTGCAACCTGACAACATATACATATAAATCGTAAGATATTTTTACGAATGACTTGAGAATGCCATCAGTTACACGTTCGACCATCTTGCGAGAACAGAAACTTGTAAGATGGCTGTAAGTCTGACGTATGAGCTCAAGGCATTCTTACAGGAAAAAAGGGAAACATCAAGGGCGTTCTAACAAACTCTGTAAGAATGACGTAAGAAACTGTGCCCCATCTAAGATTTCTCTATGAACTTTGGAATTTGTACAAGCAGGGGAATTCGTACGAACCTTTGCCACCGTAGAAAAATTCAAGGGCGTTCTAACGAACTCCGTAAGAATGACGTAAGAAACTGTGCCCCATCTACAAATCTCCATAAACTTTGGAATTCGTACGAGCCTTTGCCACCGTAGCTTTAATGTGATATATATTTTATAAACTATCGTAAAACCAGAGCAGCACACACAAACTTGATGACCAATTAAGTTTGCATGTCACAAAATTTAGGAATTGTGCCCTCCGAGAATCCTGAATATGCCACTAATGTATACTCTACCTGTAATAAGTGGCAGGGTAGAGAGCCCCGTTGCAATAGACAGTGAGGTCGTCAGGATCACAATTCTCCGACCCAACTCTGAAGGTGGCTACAGGTGCTCCATCAGCAAAGGGGTTATAGTCGTTAGGCGTGGGCTGGTAGACGGGAACAGGGCGTGTTCTTCTGGCTTCGGCCCAGGTAAGCTCAAATGTGTTCTGACGTTTGGCTGTGTTGACAATTGTACCTGCAGAAGAAGAAGATGGATGATGAGAATTTGGGGATTTCATATGTTGTATCTGGACCCTTACCACGCAACTAAGTTAACACGTAGTGATCAAATTGTACTTTTATCACTCAACTCTCCCATTTTAGTTAAATCTGAGCAAGTAATATATCTCCTTATAATTTAGGAATAGAAAGTCTAATTATTCCTAGTCCAGGAATTGCTCTCTTTCAACACACTTCCACTGAGCTCTCTTAAGCCATGGCCACCAACTGTAATGAAATGTTGCAAAATCATGGCACATAATTCCAAGACAGTTCTAAAAACATGTGCATATATGTACTATGCCCAAGTAAGCACAGTATAATTTGACTACATGCAGAAGACACTGACGTCACGTCTTTCTCCACATCATGCTTCATAAGGGGGTTAGTAAGGTTTGAAATATGAGATCACTACATCCATGCGCATCTCAAATTGGCAATTTGGCGATTTTGACCACATGTGTCATTGGGCAACTCTCCCGTATATAAAATCATGTATTAAGGATAGCATAACATCATAGATCCTCTAAACAGGAAAGACCCTCCTAAATCATACATTTTGAAGAAAAATAACAATTCATTTGTTTGTGTTGAAACAAATGGGAAAGTAGTCCAGCACTTCGTCACAATGACATTACCGATTCAGCCAATTTGAAGTGACATATACGTATAGTAATTTCAACTTTTAAAAATGTATAACTTTCTTATTTTTTGTCCGGTTTAATTCAAACTTTCACCTTCTGCTTCTCCAATTTTTTGCTAAGCTTGGGTTCCACGTTCAGTCTAGACAAAAAATAAACCATATGTAGTCAACAGGTAGCGGAATTTTGTTGTTTGAGAGCACTATCTTAAGAGCACCATCTGAAGCTAAACAATATACATGTATGTCTTCGATCAGAATTTCTATCACATCGTCAACCAATTTGTGCTTGATTGATCGCACCTTAAAAACATATACAGCTTTCTTATTTTCAATCGGATTTTGCTCAGACTGTCACTGACTTGTTTCTCTCAATGTCCTGCTTCTGTTAAATCCAACTTAATACCAGAGTGGACTTCCCCTTTAACGCATAGCCTACCATGAGGGTGCATGCACACTATCGTTATAGTGCTTTGTACATGCGAGCAAGCTATTGCTACGCTGCCATGTGCGTGCACAATTTCTTAGTAGCAGTTATTGTTCATGCTCAATTGACTGTGCTATGTGTTTTGCACTCGCTATTCATAGAACTATCACGTTAATTAGATTATCTCAATATAAACTTGGCACTCCGTGATTTGGGGCTTGGCACAATGGGGATTAGCCCTGTGGGTAACCCGACACATGCTCCGCCGACGATTGCTCCGCCGACATTTACTCCGCAAAACGCGACAATTGCTCCGCGACATTTGCTCCGCGACATTTGCTCCGACGTCAAATGCTCCGCCGACAGTTGCTCCGCCGACAGTTGCTCCGCCGACAGTTGCTCCGCCGACAATTGCTCCGCCGACAGATGCTCCGCCGACAATTGCTCCGCCGACAATTGCTCCGCCGACAATTGCTCCGCCGTCAATTGCTCCGCAAAACGCGACAATTGCTCCGCCGACATTTGCTCCACCGACATTTGCTCCGCCTGAAGCGACACTTGCTCCGCCGACATTTGCTCCGCCGACAATTGCTCCGCCGACAATTGCTCCGCCGACAATTGCTCCGCCGACAATTGCTCCGTCGACAATTGCTCCGCCGACAATTGCTCCGCCGACAATTGCTCCGCCGACAATTGCTCCGCCGTCAATTGCTCCGCAAAACGCGACAATTGCTCCGCCGACATTTGCTCCACCGACATTTGCTCCGCCTGAAGCGACACTTGCTCCGCCGACATTTGCTCCGCCGACAATTGCTCCGCTGACAATTGCTCCGCCGACAATTGCTCCGCCGACAATTGCTCCGTCGACAATTGCTCCGCCGACAATTGCTCCGCCGACAATTGCTCCGCCTGAAGCGACAATTGCTCCGCCGACATTTGCTCCGCCGACAATTGCTCCGCCGACAATTGCTCCGCCTGAAGTGACAATTGCTCCGCCGACATTTTCTCCGACGACATTTGCTCCGCCCAAAAAGTGTCCCATAAACTACAAATGCTACTAGTACTACGACAAATGCTTCGCCGACAATATTTTCTTTACACCTATTTTTTTCGTTTCTTTTTTCTTCTTCATTTTCTGAATGCATTTCTTGAAATAATGTAGATGAAATTAAATGAATGAATGTTGATGAAGTGGGAGGAAAAAAGGAGTTACCTAAAAGTCATTTCGAATATACTGAAATAACTTTCCATCTATCACTGTACGTCCCACATAATGTACACTAAACACTCATTACATGTCATGGGAAGTTTTTTTTTTAAGTAGAGCAGCAAGCCACATTCCCCAATACGCGCATACCTCCTAGTTAATTTCAAACAGCTCATCAATATGTAAGACCTGAAATTACCTCAATGAAAGAAGACTAATAACATGAGAGGAAAGAAAAGAGCAAAGAAGACAACCGTTTTTTGCTATTCCCCATAATGTTTGATTTAAAAAAATAAAAAATAAAGTTATAGCTCCTTACGCAAGTTCTCCGGCGAAAGATATTACTCCGCTCAAAATCTGTTTCATGTATTACTCATTAGCTGATCCAAAGCTCAAGGCTATCTCTCTCTCTCTCTCTTTCTCTCTCTCCCATGCTCCTCCTTTTCCTGTTTACACCGTTTTCTTGTCTTCTTTGCTCTTTTCTTTCCTCTCATGCTATTAGTCTTCTTTCATTTCCATCACTTCTTCTCTGCTCCCCCTCTCGAGTTCTATTTCTCTCGTGAAATTGAAACGTAAAGTAATACAATCATGTAGTACATTCTTGTTTAGAATAATATTTTCAATAATATCCAGTCCATTTTCTAAAGGTTTCTTTCCTTTAGTTAAGTGTATGTAGCTTTAATATATATATATTATGTTAGTGTGTAAAACACTCCGTTTCATTCGAGTACTTTGTTTTCACTGAATAATTTAAGGGACTCACGAAGCCACCGGAAGAAGAGCAATTGGCTTATCACGAAGAACTAACATCAAACTGCAACAAAATGATTTGTAAATGTGAATAAGCAGAAAGGCTGCCATCTCATTTTCCCGTCTGAATGGGTTCTCTTCCTTACGTATATAAGTGCCCTTATTTTCTAAACTTCCATGATGACCTAGTACACTGTATAATGCTTTACCTAGTAAGATGCATTGATCGAGGTAATTTCAGGTATTACATATTGATGAGCTACTTGAAATTAACTAGGAGGTATGCGCGTATTGGGGAATGTGGCTTGCTGCTCTACTTTTTTTTAAAAACTTCCCACGACATGTAATGAGTGTTTAGTATACATTATATGGGACGTACATGTACAGTGATAGATGGAAAGTTATTTCAGTATATTCGAAATGACTTTTAGGTAACTCCTTTTTTCCTCCCACTTCATCAACATTCATTCATTTAATTTCATCTACATTATTTCAAGAAATGCATTCAGAAAATGAAGAAAATGAAGAAGAAAAAAAGAAACGAAAAAAATAGGTGTAAAGAAAATATTGTCGGCGAAGCATTTGTCGTAGTACTAGTAGCATTTGTAGTTTATGGGACACTTTTTGGGCGGAGCAAATGTCGTCGGAGAAAATGTCGGCGGAGCAATTGTCACTTCAGGCGGAGCAATTGTCGGCGGAGCAATTGTCGGCGGAGCAATTGTCGGCGGAGCAATTGTCGGCGGAGCAATTGTCGACGGAACAATTGTCGGCGGAGCAATTGTCGGCGGAGCAAATGTCACCGGAGCAATTGTCGCTTCAGGCGGAGCAAATATCGGCGGAGCAAATGTCGGCGGAGCAATTGTCGCGTTTTGCGGAGCAATTGACGGCGGAGCAATTGTCGGCGGAGCAATTGTCGGCGGAGCAATTGTCGGCGGAGCATCTGTCGGCGGAGCAATTGTCGGCGGAGCAACTGTCGGCGGAGCAACTGTCGGCGGAGCACCTGTCGGCGGAGCATTTGACGTCGGAGCAAATGTCGCGGAGCAAATGTCGCGGAGCAATTGTCGCGTTTTGCGGAGTAAATGTCGGCGGAGCAATCGTCGGCGGAGCATGTGTCATGGAACCGCCCTGTGGCATGATAACAGTTAAAAAATAGGAGTTAGCGTCCTTCTGTTATCTCAGCAGATGCCATTATCATTGATACTTACCGCCATCCACTCGTTCCTGCCCGATGATTGCTAAGCGCACGATGCGTCCAAAACTCGTATCAAAAAGGTTGTAAAAAGTGATGGTGATAGTGGTGATGCCTCGAGAGACCAACAACGGAGTTGCTCCACGAGGTGGAGCTGGTGGAGCTGAACAAACCGAAAATAATGAAAATAAATGAAACTAATTGATTGACCCCTATTTGTATAATGATATCTGAGTCCTACATGTATCTTACTAAAATGAGCTTAAAAGCTGGCTCCAAACCTTCATTGTAGACCCTCTTGTTTTCACAAGCTTTTAACTGTATATACACTGTAAATTGGTTGTGTGCCCATAATGAACAAGCATTTTGATTGATATTATTGTTTTACCTAAATTAATTTTTGATATTTATTAAGTAATTGCGTTGTATACATTCTTCTAATTGTTTTTTCCATCAATTCGTTCCTGTTTTCACGAAGTGACGGTAGTGAGGAAAATCCGCACGCAAATTCTATGCGATTTTCATTCACTACCGTCACTTCGTGACAACAGGGACGAATTTTATCATTATCATAGTTATTATGATTACCACCGTTAGTACTACTACTCATACCTGTTTCAGCAAACAGGGTTCTCGTGGTCGACCTTCGATTGCTTGATGCGACCTGGTTGGTAGCGTACACCGAGAAAACGTAGTACTGCCCTACAGCCAAGCCAATGACATCCTGTGAGTAATCTGTCTGCCCATTCACAGCCCTAATGGTGGCAATTTCCCTGTACTGTGTTCAAAAATAAAAGATTTGGATTCCCTCTTCATGAATAAAGGCACGATGGCTCAGCATTAGAGCAGTGGTCTTGGAACCGGGAGGTCCTAGGTTCAAAACCAAGTCGATGTGCTGGTGCCCTTTGGTGAGGCACTTAATCTTCACTACAAAGTCCCTTGGCGAGGACTTAAAGCCGTCAGTCTCCTGGTTACCTTATTTAACAAACATGCACATGCTATTTCAAGTATTTTAAGTTGGTTAAAAAAAACATCACACAATCTTTTTCAACCCCCCAAAATACGTGCTGTGGCTAGATTGTGATCCCCTGGCCCTCTGACGAAGAGTCTAACACACAATCAATTAGACCAGGCCACTTTTACATATAGTATAAACATTTGAAGCTACATTTGAATTCTTAGCAGTCACGTATAAACAAAAATCTAACAATTGAAAAATCGAATGTGTGAATAAACTTACTGGAGAGAGGGTACCATCGTCAAGTGAGATGTGAATGGCCAGGGTGTAGTTGGCAATGACGCCATTTGGAAGCAGAGGAGAAGACCAGCTGACCTGAGCATCGAGGATTCCAGTCTGGGTGATGGTCAGTCCACTGACCTCACTAGGCACTGGATAGATTCAAAAGGCAAGAAGTATTGGTTAAAGATAGTAATGATAATAGCAACAACAGAAACACCAACAACAAAAATAATAATAGTGGATATTTTGTGTAACGCTAAAATCTCTTTCAGATATATCACTGCCGTCACTCCACAATATTCATAATAACAATTGAAGTAATAACAATATACACATGTAGTCAAACCTGTCTATTTAGACCGCCCTCGGGAACCAGAAAAAGTGGCCACTGTATACAGCTAACAGTGGCCTTTCTACACAGGTTTTACAACACACATTTCCATCTTCAGGGAGACAAAATGCATGGCTACTATCAGGGCGGATCCAGGGGGCCTAGTGGGCCTTGCCCCCCTCCCCCTGCCTGGCCGAGAACAAAAAAGACAGGCAAAAAAATAAAATAAAATTCTAACCAGAAATGTACCATTTTTGTTTACTTAAGGGCTAGGGTAGGATTTTCAAAATTCCGGGGAAAAAAAAGAAAACAAAATTAATGCTCACTGGCATTAGACAAACTGGGAGTTTGACTAACTTTTTATTAGACTAAACAAAAATAATAGACCAAATGGGAAGTAGATTAATTGGGTAGTAAACAAACTGGTTGTAGACTATACAGCACTCCACTGTCCAGAGAACTTGTCACAGGAGCAAACGACCTGTTACTGCCAGGTCCTAAGGTAGGGTGGTCTTACAGGTACAGAAAATATTAATCATGACATGAGAATAAACTGCCAATTCTTGAAGGTGTTATACACGTGAAGTTTAACTTCTTGGATATCCCATTGAAATAAACGTTTTTATAGAGTTATCGTGCATATCTTTGGGATGTCTACTAACTTAATTCTTCGCCGGTTTTGGGAAACTGGCCCCAAACTTCTAACTTACTGGATGGCAGTGTTGTTACTGGGAGTGCACTGACAGGATCGCTAGGGACATTGACGTAGACAGCCTGGAGAACAGCGAAATAAGCTGTGTATGAGATCAGATTCTCCTCGGTATGACTCAGGCTTTGTACCTTTATCAGGATAGTATAACATTGATACATGTATTATATATACAAACCATACTGATCATGATAATCGTGATGATGACACTAACAAAAATAATAACAATACTAATAACAATGGTAATAATAATAATAATAATAATAATAACAAGAGTAATAATCATAACAATGTAATTAACAACAACAATGATAATAATTACAATAATAATGATGATGACAATTACAAATATAATAACAATAATTGTAAAAACAATAACATCACTAATACAAATAATGGTATTAATAATGATAACAAACAACAAATATAATAATGATATTATATAAAACGTCTATAATGAAAATGATAGTAACAACAATAATGAAAATAATGGGCTACATTTACACATTTTTTTGCAACCATGATACACTTATTAAAGGAGAGACAGAAAAGTTAATATAACTTACCCGAAGCGTGTTGATGGTAGTGCCCGTGTTTTCTTTGATTGAGATTACAAAATTCGTAACGGTAACACTCGCAAATGGCAAGCTCCATATCCATGTAATAGAAGTAGCGGTAGCCTTGCTTCCGGTGAAATATGGGCTGTATTGCTCTGAAAGAATTGTAATCAAAGAGACCCGTCGATAACAGGGAATTAAGAGCCAGAAATTTTAACTAATTTACAGCCATTTTGCAACATTAAACTTCTTTGACTTGCACAAATTTAACTTTGGAATCCAACTGTTTTCAGCATGGAATGTTCTAAAATCTTGACCATCCACAAAATTTGCATGAATGTCTCTGGTTTTAAGGTAACATTCTTGAGGGTCATTCAGTATAAAGTGACATACAGCAATGTCAGGTAAAAAGCCGTATTAGGAATGTAAGTCCTTACTAAAATTAGATCAAATTAATCCAAACTGCATGAGAATCCAGTTTGAGATTTTGACTGGATTTGGGTGTAATATGCCTTAAATAAAAAAGCCACACACTTACTTGTGACGATATCAACTGTTACGACATCACTGGACCTTGTTTCACTTCCGTCCGTCTGATCGCTTTCTGCCCACAGGCGGAACTCGTAGCGCGTGCTGGGTATCAGGTTGGACAGCTGGATGAAGGTGTTGGTCGGTGTGGTGGTTTCGTTGGCCAGGACCGCGGAACCCGAAATGCCGTAGGTGTACCAATATCTTGCAACTACTCCCACGCTTGGCTGCCACGTTACCGTGACTCGTGTCAACTCCTTGTTGGTTTCAGAGATGTCGGATGGTAATGCAGGTTCTGAATGCATACAGGATGTGAAGAGGCAGAAGGATAAATGTCTGCCGAAGTCTACTTTACCAAAACAAAATAACATGTTAAAAATGTTTGAATCACGCCAAAAATCTTGCTCTATATGTTAAAGATTACAATTTACTAAATTTAAAATACGGATCAAGTGAAGAACCTACCATAGAAATGCAGGGACTTTGTTCCCAAAGTGTGGGGTAACGGACTGACAGGATATGAAACCAGCTTTGTTTCTGGTTTGTAATGTAATAATGCACACCCACTGCAATGTTCATACTCCCAACAAGAACATGAGAGAGATAATGGGGGTTTAAATAGGGGAACAACTTCATAATTGTGAAAAGCAGACAGCTACATTTGTTTGGGCATTAAAGTATCTTTAATAATAGCTTGACAAACACAATTTTGAAAAAAAGAAAATGGTGTGAGAAGGGGGGCAGACCAACTTGGTCATATTTTTCTGATCACATTAAGCAGTGGATCAGAATGTCATTTGATCAGCTAACTAGAACAGCTGAAAACAGAAATCTACAGACAACCTGCATCTCTATCTATGAAACGTAGATATAGAGATGTATCACTAGCTTTTGTTAAATACCTAAAAAGGCCACCTGTCAATAGCGGCCATATTGTTCGTCTCCCTCCATAGAGTTTGTATGTTTTTTTTTAACTTGTTTATAGAGGAAACCTGTCCATAGTGGCCATGTAGTTTGTATGCTATTAGTGAGTTGTTAAATCTGTCTAGAAAGGACATTTGTCTACAGTGACCATTCCTTAGGTGGCCTTACATGTATATAGATAGGGTTTGACTTTACAAACTAAATTTACCACTCACAGGAGACAATAAAAGCAGTCTTGATGGTCCTTATGTACAGGTTCTTAGTTTATTTCAAAGAGTTTAAATAAGTAACTCAATTTAAAAATGTTATGTATAGGCAGTTGGTCTTTTTGTACAGGTTATCGCTAAATCAGGTTCGACTTGATATACAAAATTTACACCGGACACTTCTTTAGTTTGCTTGGGTGGGATCGATATATAGGTTTGACTGTACTACATGAAGATACATACAATCTCAGAAGATCTTACTCATCAGGAAGGGGGAAGACACCTGAGGCTCCCCAATCACCTCTGCCTGGTTCGGTGCATCATCTGGCCGTATCACTGATGCAAGTCGGACAGTATAAGTTTCCCCCGGGACCAGCTTGGACAGCACAATTGTGTTGGTGTCAAGATTCACTTTAAACAAAAATATATATCCAGTTTATTATACCAAAAAATGAATGCTACGGAGGTCCATACCATGAAATATAAGAGCTGATAGATAAACCCTCGAATAGCTTTACATTAAGTTATTAATTTTCTCCTTGTCTGAACGTCATATACAGAAACATCTTAGAGCAACATTCGTTTTGAACAAAAACGTGATAAAAAAATTAGCACCCTGCTCTAGATGAGCGTCGTGTTGTATGACAAATTGTATAACTGGATGGAACTTATTGTGAGGGTGCACTGATGACTGGACAGCTCCTCTCTATACGATGATTCTTAGGCGAGTTTCATATAAATTTGCTAGTATAATAGTCTCAACAGGCTATTAGAAGTTCGTGAGTGATGTTATGTCTCAATGCAGGTCGAGGTCGAAATGTTTTGTCAGAGCGAACATTCTGAATTGAAAGATGAATATATTTATATGCATGCATTTGGTATATGAAAGTGACGGTATTCGTGATCTCATGCTTTGCTTGTTTAGAGTCAGGCCTTTTTAATCATGATAAGGATGCAATGGCATCCGAAGTGTGCATCTTAAACATGTGCCTACGGAGCAATAGGCACAATAAGTAAATTGTTTAAGTACTAATGGATTCAAATAATTTCTATAATATCTCATTGCCCATGACTTACAGGTCACACTCATCGTCGCTGGCATCGTTGTCATGACAACACTGACAATAGGGAAGTTCATTTCATCAGGAGCTGCCCAGGATAACCTTGCTGTGTCTTCCCCGATCTCAGAGAGGATAAGGTTTTGAGGAGGATCAGGTACTTGATATGAAAAGAAAAAAAACGTGTATCAATTCGAAACAAACCCGAGACTACCACAATGCACATAAACCTGTCGATTAATTTTATTCTTGCTTCTTGAAGAAAACGTTTCTGATGACGAATCAAAAGCTTACATGATATAGCAACAACTAATGGTTTTAAAGTGACCTCCATCCATAGAGATTCAATTATGCATAGCAGGTGAATTGGATAGTTCATAAGGTAGGTAAAACTGGGCTTAATAATAATAATAATAATTATCCTTGCTTATATAGCGCCTAACACTTCCTATGCAGTCTCTAAGCGCTCTACAATAATGCAGCTACTTACCCTGGCTTTAGCAGTGCAGTTGTTACGCTTAGTTAGGTTTATGAATATTGGCCCTATACATGCATTAATTGAAACACATCAGTAAACAGGTCTTACAAAATATACATTAAGTATTATACATTTTAAATTTCATTCCTGTAGGGAGTGGGAGTGGCTCATGTCTCATTGAGACTTTTACATCATGCGAGTATTCAAAAACAGTTAAAAGGGCAACAAATTCACTGGTGATAAGAAAATATGCGGGTAGGAAATTTGATAGCTGCAGCCGGGATAGATTTAATGTCAATTTGTAAAATTGCCATGTTTTTAGAACTTGTTTTTAGAGTGTTGAAGTGTGACGGCATCAACAAATATTTTTTTTTGGAATTTCTCTTTTGGAAAATGAAGAAAAAAATTGAGAAATTCTAAAAATAGATTTTTATGATGTCACAGCTTCGGTACTCTTGTTGATGATTATGCAATAAGCATGGTTCTGGACCATAGTTCTAATTTTTTTCCTGATTGATGACTGAATTGCTAAGTCTGTCTTGCCACTTTCAAAAGATCCCTTAACCCTAAAAAGGACGGGCTATTTGAGGCCTTAGTACGGCCTGGGGGGGGGGGCATTATGCCCCCCACCCCCCCCCCCCCCAAAAAAAAAAAATCTGGGCCGTGAAGCGGCCGATCTCCGCGAAGTTTTGCACGCATGTCAAGTGAAGTGTATAAAATACTACGATAGTTTCAATTTTTTGAAAAATTCACTCATTTGCATATTTATGGTAGTTTATGCAAATAAGGTCCAAAAAAAATCTTTCAAAAGTTGCGCAAGACTCGAAAGAAAAAAGTCAGCAAGCGGCGGGGCGCCATCCATATGCGTTCCGGAACAATCAGAAAAATTGTGGAGGGGGGGGGGCATGATGGCCCCCCGGCCTTATTAGTGTTAATATACATAGTATTACTTCTTTACTCATTAGTGTTTTTAGCGCTCCTAAATAATCGATTTTCTCTTAGTATAATTATTATACCCACATGTGTAAAATAGGAGGGTTGTGTCTTCGCTTCTTTTGTCTCCACTGATAGCAATAATTCCAACTGTATAGCCATGGCCAGCTGCCAAGTTCTGGATTTTGGCACTGGTCATGTCGCCAGTAATGTTGACAAGAAGCTCATCCCCATCCACACTGCCCTCGTCTGCGGGGTCAAGGGTCACTTTGTAGAGTCCACGGATACCCTCGGGTTGGTCCCATTCCAGCGTCACAGCGCGAGGACCGAGGGAGCCGCCAATGATGCGGATCTCTGCGATGGCGGCTGGATCTGTGGAGGCAAGGCAGCATAATATTTTTGACTGACTGCTGATGGTAGTGCAAAAGCAAAGACTCTATAACACTGTCAGACAAAACTGTAGGTCATCACATTATATTCTTCAAACTGGCAACATTAATGGGTTTTGTTTATTGCTAGATTGTTTATATACAAGTTATGTTTCTGTAAAAAATATGTATTGGTAATAAACAATGTCGATTTTGCTTGGTTTTGTTTTAATTCCTGTTTAAAATACATGGCGTCAACTTTGTGGTGGTCATACCCTATTTGTTCATGCATCTGATTACAATTTGTAGGGCTCTGCATCAAAAGTTACTGAGCCAAACCGCATAGTATAGACTGAGTTTCAGCCATTCCATTACATTGTGATTAAAACTTGAAATGATTGTGAGGGGCTAGTTATTTAATAGAGGTTAGTTATTCTTTGAAATGATTACAATTCATAATAATCGATTCAATATTCCTGAAAATCACATGCACTGCATACATAAATAGGTATATGGTAATGGGAATATACACAAGCTTCACGGCAGTTTGGTCCAACTTTTCAGCTACTTCTGGGCCCCTCTGCATAAATCTTACTAACGATTGAAACTTTGGCCGTCAATATTATCTACCGTGGCAACTTCAATCACCATCAATGCAAATCAAAGTTTCCATGGAAGTTATCATCAGTGGCAAAGTTACCATCAATGCTCAGTTTTATTCAACAGGACCCTCGTCATTTTTTAATGTATTAGGACAGATTCTGAAGAGCGATCATTTCCAAGGAACGTTTTGAATCACTTAAACTGAAACATTTAAATTAGGGCTTTATTTGACGAAATATTGGAATCAATGCTACCGCTGCAGAGAAAATGAATGGATTAAACTGACACGAGAGTCCCTCACCTAATCTGAACGAAATGCTTTCATTTAGATAGCTCGTTTCCTGCGAGTATGAGGAGCAGCTTGTGACATAAACTGTGTACATCTGGCCCGGATCTAGACCATAGAACCGGGCAGATCGGTAGTTCCGCTTTACAGGAAACCTCTCCTGCTGTCTGTTTGCCCTCGCCTCGTATGGTTCATACCTGACGCAGTACTGGTTAAAGGCATCGGTGCCCAGGTCTTGCCAGGTCACGGTGAATTCGGTGTTGCCTTTAGAGGTTACGGCCAGACTGAGAATCTGGGCAAATGAAGCTGGGATAAGGAAGGAATGAAAATGACAAATCAGTCGCATTTCATTTTGTTAATTATCATCATAATCAATATAACTTTTATTGTTATTCTCCTTGTTTTTCGTCTTCTTCATATTATTATTATAATTATTATTAGTAGTAGTAGCACTGATAGTAGTAGGCCTGGATCACCTGGGCCTTGGAGGCAGCGCATAATACAAGAATTAAAATGCATGGGAATCGGGTACGTCATTTGCCTCGAAATCGGTTGACTTGATCCTTGCATCTGCTTCTAGAGAATCACAACTGTAATTTCCAAAATGACTTGAGAAGCCGCTGCTGTTTACTGTATCACCGTGGTTCTCTTTGATGTGAAAATGAACGGCAAGTGGGGATGAACAAAAAAAAGTATCACAAGACAAAGGTCTTATGCGTAATTATACATAATTATCTGAAGAAAAGGGAGAATTAAGAATGTAAGAACATACAACAAGTTTTCCTGATTTCATGAAGATATGCTCAAAATATAATTAAGATGGCGCCTAAATATAAAACATGAACTATTCCAGAAAAGTGTGTGTTCTGCTGTCACTTCTACTCACATAGGCTAGCCATGGCTCCATACGCTACGAAGAAATCCATTACGAGGCTACGAACGGACTTCGAGGTACTTGCAGATAAAATAGCTTCAATAGCTCGATATGACAAACCTGGGGGTTTCTAGGACACTTACCCATTACTTAAACCTAGGATGACTACCCTCCGGGACAACTACCCCGGACAACTATCCCCATACAAATACCCCCTAGGACAACTATCACTTAGGACAACGACCCCAGAAAACTACCCCCGGACAACTACCAAACATTCAGTTTCTTAAAGTTCGGAAAGGACCCTAAAAATCACCATTGGTTTTGTACAGTTACATGCTTGCTTTAGCAATTTCTCACGATTTAACGATCATCAGCCTACCTGTGTATGCCGAAATCAATTCCCCGTCGCTGAAAGTCTGAGCATTTCCTTCGCCCACGACCGTAGATACATCGATTAGATACTCTGTGCTCAGCATTAGTCCTTCAAGTAAAACCGAGGTCGTGTTCGGAAGGAAGTACCCCACCTCCGTAAAGTTACCAAGCTCATTCGCTCTCTCGAAGGCGACGTAGTACCAGTCAAACATGGTTTCGTTGCCTGGGTCAGACCAGTCGATTAAGAGGGAGGTCAGTTGTCTGTTGGTAGTCTGTATGTTGACTGGTGGTAACGGACCTGAAGGATAATCATATGAGGAATCGTTCACACATGATTACATTCATAAATTTAAAGAACTCCCCCCCCCCCCCCGAAAAAAAATAACCTGTTTTATGGCAGTTTTTATTCAAACAATTAGGGGGGAAAAGCTTTCGCAAATCTGTACAATTATCTCAGGAAATTTGCTGACATTTTATATATTAACACATTTTTAGTCTTAATTTTCTCGCTTACGTGTGTACTGCTGAAGGGTTTCACACACACCATCCTGATCAATGAAGACGTTGTATTTCTGACCAGATTGAAGGTCTGTGAAGTAAACATACTCGCGGTCGTTGAAAAGACCATAGAGGGTTTCGTTCCCACAAGCGCAACCCAGGCTAAATTCTATGTAAACGTAATCCTGCGTGCTCTTGTCCCATCCGACCTGAAAAGAATCTGCAGACAGTGCAGTAACTGCTACAATGCCATTTGCAGGAGATTCTAGAACAAAGAAGGAAAGGGAAAGATGATTGAAAGTCATATTTCAGCATTTCAAACGACACTTGTGCATTTACTACTCAGGCAAGTTCAAGTGATTTTGTTTCATACGTTACCGACATAATTTGTTAAAGGCAAACCCATCAGTGTATAAAGACCACATGTTTTGCTTCCCATTGAAACATGTATTAAAAGAACCTGTAAGTAAAGACCATCTGCTCAAGGGTGCCTTTTTCTTGTCTTTCCTGAGAGATCTTTCTGCAGTTAAACATGCTGTCTAGAAAGATTACCTGTCCATAAGGACCACATTTTTAATTTCCCTTGAATATAGGTTCTCATTGAAATCTGTACCAAAGGAACCTATACATAAAGAACAACTGTTCATAGAGGTCACTTTTCTTGTCTTCCTTCATTATAAAGGCTTCACCCTACATGTTATAAAACGCTGTGTTTTGATAACCCTGTGAAAGCTTAGATCAGACCTTATATGAAATAAAAAGATTAATGTGTTCGCACCTCCTCAGTAATTGGCAACTTATTGGGACACTAACTGATCAAATACCCTGGACTTGTCCTTATACTGCTCAGATGATAACCATAATGCAAATACATCTAAAGCTGTGAAAGTTAAAAAAGTAATGAACAAAAATTACATTAAAAAGAACTTAGCAGTAAATTGAAACCTGTTTATAAAGACCGATAAAGGGAGACAAGGTAAGTGTTCCTGATATGCTGGTGGTCTAGGGGAAACACGGATCGTGACCTTTTTCATTGAATACAGGTGGTCATGGCAGAACAAAATAATTTATTTTGATTCAGATATATCCACCTAAACAAATTGACTACATATTGAATAAATATCCACATTATCTGCCTGAAAGAGAACAGTTCCAAAAAATAAATTCAACCTATTTTACAATTTCCTGGGTATTGAAATTGCAAAAATGTTATCTAAAGGTAGATTCAAATGTTGCACTGACATATTGGTAGGTGGTCTGCTTTTACCAGACTGATACAAAAGCAGTACTATGCTTATGACTAAGGCTAAGCAATCAGGGGACCAATGGCTTCAGGTTTTCTCCGAGGGAAAATTGGTGCATCACATTTTCAAGATTGCTGCGCTCATGTCATGTTCAAATGCATAACATAATTTAATACTAAGAATATCTTTAATTATAGATCTCTTGTACACTTTCGTAAGGATTTGTTTTTACATCTAATGGCAAGAATACATCTCATTTTTCAGAATACTTTGACTTATTCTGTGGGGTGAGGTTTCCAGTAAGTCTATTCTGAATGAACAATTTATTAGCTACTATCATACTAACCTGTTCTAAAATCGATCTTCCTTGGCTCACTCCTCACATCGATGGCCCCAAAGACCGTGACCACTGTGACATTGTAATCGGTGTCCGGCAGAATACCGATGAAGGGAAATTCAACCCTGGTTTGGTTCTTGATGATGTCACTCCGGTAGATGTGGGCTGGAGAGTCGGTGAAGCCATGGTCCGGACTGTAGGTCACTTCAAAGAAGTCGTAATCGCCTTCAGGGATATTCCAGGCCACTTGACCAGCACAAGAGGAGATTCTACCCAAAGACAGATTGGCAGGGCTAAAGGGTACTAGATAGGTGGAGCCAGGTAAAAATGTCATAAGTAGAAAGTCAGAGGTGAAAATTTCAAATGTAAACATTTTAGAGGTAAAACTTAAGAGGTAAAAATGTCAGAGTTCAAAATGTCAGAGGTAAACATTTTTGAGGTAATAATAACAGAGGTACAACAAATTTATGATTAAGTTTTGTTGTGCATCTTATAATGTATCAGTTGAGGCAAGATAAGCCTGATTTCATTGTGCAGGACATTGACTTATGTGTCCCAACTGTACCTAATGTTTGCAAGTTTGAGATATGATGAATGGTGCTTAACTCAGCATTCTACTTAATGAAGTAGGTACTAATTTAATCATTCGTTGCTAATTGAGACCATGTTCTCTTTGTTTGTCCGGTTTCGTTCGAAAATTTCACCAGAACGAGTCACAAGTTTTTTCTGCATTTCTTCAGGGTAACTTGCTTTAATGATTGGATTCCTCTTAATGCATCCAAGTAGGCAAACCATCAGAGTGGAGTTTGGTAAAGGGTACACATTTTTATCTTTTTCAGCAAAAGAAAACCCATAAAACTTGTCAAAGATCACTATGTACTTAATTAAGAAAGCGTTAGAACCATCGACGTCATATGGCAAAAAAACGTATTGATGTAACAGATCATTTAAACAAAACACGTTACTTGAAGATTTACGAGGAAACAATCACTCGGACAACCGTTACCGAGGATGATGTAAATGAATCAAATCAGCTTTGTTACAGAATTAATGATTTTGTTTGAGATGAAGTATGTTAGCTACGCTCTACATCCATGTAGTATTGGCGCCCTGCCAAAAGTTCATTTCAAATCTTACGGTCGAAACAAAAATTTTGCGAAACTCCCTTTTTCAATTCCTAAAGCTCGGTGGAGACCCTAAAAATCATCATTGGTTTTGTACAGTTTCATGATTGCTTTAGCAATTTCTCACGATGAAAGGAACATCAGCCTACCTGTGTATGCAGAAAACAATTCCCCGTCGCTGAAAGTCTGGGCATTTCCCTCGCCCACGACCGTAGACACATTGATTAGATACTCTGTGCTCGGCATCAGTCCTTGAAGGAAGACCGATGTCATGTTTGGATAGAGGTACCCCACCTCCATAAAGTTACCAAGCTCATTCGCTCTCTCAAAGGCGACGTAGTACCAGTCAAATATGGTTTCGTTGCCTGGGTCGGACCAGTCGATTACGAGGGAGGTCAGTTGTCTGTCGGCAGTCTTTATGTTGACTGGTGGTAACGGACCTGAAGGATAATCATATGAGGAATCGTTCACACCTCATTACATTCATAAATTTAAAGAACTCCCCCCCCCCCCCCCCCCCCGGAAAAAAAAAAAATCTGTTTTATGGCAGTTTTTATTCAAACAATAAGGGGGGAAAACTTTTGCAAATCTGTACACTTATCTCAGGAAATTTGCTGACATTTTATATATTGATACATTTTTAGTCTTAATTTTCACGCTTACGTGTGTACTGCTGAATGGTTTCACACACACCATCCTGATCAATGAAGACGTTGTATTTCTGACCAGATTGGAGGTCTGTGAAGTTAACATACTCGCTGTCGTTGAAAAGACCATAGAGGGTTTCGTTCCCGCAACCGCAACCCAGGCTAAATTCTATGTAAACGTAATCCTGCGTGCTCTTGTCCCATCCGACCTGAAAAGAATCTGCAGACAGTGCAGTAACTGCTACATTGCCATTTGCAGGAGATTCTAGAACAGAGAATGAAAGGGAAAGATGATGGAAAGTCATATGACAGCATTTCAAACGACACTTTTGCATTTACTACTCGTGCAAGTTCAAGTAATTTTGTCTGATACGTTACTGACATAAATTGTTATAGGCAAACCCACCAGTGTATAAGGATTACACGTTTGGCTTCCGAATGAAATCTGGACCAATGCAACCTATACCTAACGATGACCTTTTCCTAGAGGTCACTTTTCTTGTCTTCCTTCATTATATAGGCTTCACCCTACATCTTATAAAACGCTGTGTTTTGATAACCCTGTGATAGCTTAGATCAGACCTAATATGAAATAAAAAGAGTAATGTGTTCTAACCTCCTCAATACTTGGTAACACATTGGGACACTAACTGATCAAATACCCTGGACTTGTCCTTATACTGCTCAGATGATAACCATAATGCAAATACATCTAAAGCTGTGAAAGTTACAAAGTTCTGGTAAAAATTACATTCAAAAGTACTTAGCAGTAAATTGAAACCTGTATATTGAAACCTGTATATAGAGACCGATAAAGGGAGACAATGTTAGTGTTCTCTAAATGCGGGCGGTCTAAGGGAAACACGGATCGTGATCTTCCTGTTCATGTGGTTTTCTTTGAATACAAGCGGTCATGGCAGAACAAAAAAAAAAAAAAATTGATTCAGATACATCCACCTAAACAAATTGACTACATATTGAATAATTATCCCACATCATCTGCCTGAAAGAGAACAGTTCCAAAAAATAAATTCAACATATTTTACAATTTCCTGGGTATTGAAATTGCAAAAATGTTATCTAAAGGTAGATTCAAATGTGGCACTGACATATTGGTAGGTGGTCTGCTTTTGCCAGACTGATACAAAAGCAGAACTATGCTTATGACTAAGGCTAAGCAATCAGGGGACCAATGGCTTCAGGTTTTCTCCGAGGGAAAATTGGTGCATCACATTTTCAAGATTGCTGCGCCCATGTCATGTTCAAATGCATAACATAATTTAATGCTAAGAATATCTTTAATTATAGATCTCTTGTACACTTTCGTAAGGATTTGTTTTTACATCTAATGGCAAGAATACATCTAATTTTTCAGAATACTTTGACTTATTCTGTGGGGTGAGGTTTCCAGTAAGTCTATTCTGAATGAACAATTTATTTGCTACTATCATACTAACCTGTTCTGAAATCGATCTTCCTTGGCTCACTCCTCACATCGAGGGCCCCAAAGACCGTGACCACTGTGACATTGTAATCGGTGTCCGGCAGAATACCGATGAAGGGAAATTCAACCCTGGTTTGGTTCTTGATGATGTCACTCCGGTAGATGTGGGCTGGAGAGTCGGTGAAGCCATGGTCCGGACTGTAGGTCACTTCAAAGAAGTCGTAATCGCCTTCAGGGATATTCCAGGCCACTTGACCAGCACAAGAGGAGATTCTACCCAAAGACAGATTGGCAGGGCTAAAGGGTACTAGATAGGTGGAGCCAGGTTAAAATGTCATAAGTAGATAGTCAGAGGTGAAAATTTCAAATGTAAACATTTTAGAGGTAAAACCTAGGAGGTAAAAATGTCAGAGTTCAAAATGTCAGAGGTAAACATTTTTGAGGTAATAATAACAGAGGTACAACAAATTTATGATTAAGTTTTGTTGTGCATCTTATAATGTATCAGTTGAGGCAAGATTAGCCTGATTTCATTGTGCAGGATATTGACTTGTGAGTCCCAACTGTATCTAATGTTTTTAAGTTTGAGATATGATGAATGGTGCTTAACTCAGAATTCCAATAAACGAAGTAGGTACTAATTTAATCATTCGTTGCTAATGAAGACCATGTTCTCATTGTTTTCATGGTTTCGTTCTAAAATTTCACCAGAACGAGTCACAAGTTTTTTTCTGCATTTCTTCAGGGTAACTTGCTTTAATGATTGGATTCCTCTTAATGCATCCAAGTAGGCAAACCATCAGAGTGGAGTTTGGTAGAGGGTCCGCATTTTATTATTTTTTCAGCAAAAGAAAACCCATAAAACTTGTCAAAGATAATCGCTTTTGTTACAGAATTAATGATTTTGTTTGAGATGAAGTATGTTAGCTACGCCCTACATCATTGTAGGATTGGCGGCCTGCCAAAAGTTCATTTCAAATCTTACGGTCGAAACAAAATTCGCAAAACTTCATTTTTTATAATTCCGAAAGTTCGGGGGAGACCCTAAAAATCATCATTGGTTTTGTACAGTTACATGCTTGCTTTAGCAATTTCTCACGATTAAACGAACATCAGCCTACCTGTGTATGCAGAAAACAGTTCCCCGTCGCTGAAAGTCTGGGCATTTCCCTCGCCCACGACCGTAGACACATCGATTAGATACTCTGTGCTCGGCATCAGTCCTTCAAGTAAAACCGATGTCATGTTTGGATAGAGGTACCCCACCTCCGTAAAGTTACCAAGCTCATTCGCTCTCTCAAAGGTGACGTAGTACCAGTCAAACATGGTTTCGTTGCCTGGGTCAGACCAGTCGATTAAGAGGGAGGTCAGTTGTCTGTTGGTAGTCTGTATGTTGACTGGTGGTAACGGACCTGAAGGATAATCATATGAGGAATCGTTCACACATGATTACATTCATGAATTTAAAGAATCCCCCCTATAAAATATATATATATATATATATATAATAACAAATGAATAAATAAATAAATACATACGTAAATACAATCTTAAAATATCTGTATTATGGCAGTTTCTTTTTTTAATTAAGGGAAATATAACTTTTGCTAATCAGATTAATTATCTCATGAAATTTGCTGACATTTTATATGCACAGCACTTTCTAGTCGAAATCTTATCTCTTACGTGTGTACTGCTGAAGGGTTTCGCACAGACCATCCTGATCAATGAATACGTTGTATTTCTGACCAGATTGGAGGTCTGTGATATTAGAAATCTCGCTGCCGTTGCCAAGAGCAAAAAGGGTTTCATTCTCGCACGCAGTCTTGCTCTCGTCATCCACGTTGAATCGTATGTAATTGTAATCCTGCGTGCTGTGGTACCATCCGAACTGAAAAGAATCTGCAGATAGTGCAGTAACTGCAACATTGCCATTTGCAGGAGATTCTAAAACGAAGAAGCAAAAGGAAAAATGATGGAAAGTCATACGTTACTGACATAATTTGTTATAGGCAAACCCACCAGTGTATAAGGATTACACGTTTGGCTTCCCATTGAAATCTGGACCAATGGAACCTGTACCTAAAGACCACCTGTTCATAGAGGTCACTTTTCTTGTCTTCCTTCATTATATAGGCTTCACCCTACATCTTATAAAACGCTGTGTTTTGTTTATAACCTGGTGAAAGCTTAGATAAGACCTAATATGAATTAAAAAGAATAATGTGTTCGCACCTCCTCAGTAATTGGCAACTTATTGGGACACTAACTGATCAAATACACTGGACTCGTCCTTATACTGGACAAGTGATAACCTTTAATCAAATACATCTAAAGCTGTGAAAGCTACAATGTACTGGACAAAAATTACATTCAAAAGTACTTAGCAGTAAATTGAAACCTGTATATAGAGACCGATAAAGGGAGACAATGTTAGTGTTCTTTAAATGCGGGCGGTCTAAGGGAAACACGGATCGTGATCTTCCTGTTCATGTGGTTTTCTTTAAATACAGATGGTCATGGCAGAACAAAATAATTTATTTTGATTCAGATATAACCACCTAAACAAATTGACTACATATTGATTAAGTATCCAACATATTCTGCCTGACAAAGAACAGTTCAAACAAATATATTCCACATATTTTACAATTTCCCGGGGATTCAAATTGCAAAATTGTAATCTAAAGGTAGATTTAGATGTTGCACTTACATATTGGTAGGTGGTCTGTTTATACCAGACTGATAAGAAAGAAGTAGTATGCTTTTAACTAAGGCTTAGCAATCGGGGGACCAATGGCTTCAGGTTTTCTCCGAGGGAAAATTGGTGCGTCACTTTTTCAAGCATGCTTCGCCCATCATGCTAAAAGGCATAACACAATTTAATGAAAAGAATATCTGAATGTATAGATCTCTTGTACACTTCCGTAAGGATTTGTTTTTACATCTAATGGCAAGAATACATCTCATTTTTCAGAATACTTTGACTTATTCTGTGGGGTGAGGTTTCCCGTAAGTCTTCTCTGAAGGACCAATTTATTAGCTACTATCATACTAACCTGTTCTGAAATCGATGTTCCTCGGCTCACTCCTCACATCGAGGGCCCCAAAGACCGTGATCACTGTGACGTGGTAACGGGTGTCCGGATAAATGCCGATGAAGGAAAATTCAACCCTGGTTTGGTTCTTGGTGATGTCGCTCCGGTAGATGTGGGCTGGAGAGTCGGTGAAGCCATGGTCCGGACTGTAGGTCACTTCAAAGAAATCGTAATTTCCTTCAGGGATATCCCAGGTCACTTGACCAGCGCAAGAGGAGATACTACCCAAAGACAGATTGGCAGGGCTAAAGGGTACTAGATTGGTGGTGCAAGGTAAAAATATCAGAGGTGAAAATTTCAGATGTAAACATTTTAGAGGCAAAAATGTCAGAAGTAAACATATCTGACGTAAAATCTCAAAGGTAAAAATGTCAGAGCTCAAAATGTCAGAGGTTAAAATGTCAGAGGTAAAAATATCTGCGGAAATAATTTCCGAGATAATAATAGCAGAGGTACAACAAATTTATGATTAAGTTTTGTTGCGCAAATATTAATGTTTCAGTTGAGGCAAGATTGGCCCAATTTCATTTTGCAGGACATTGACTTGTGTGTCCCAACCGCACCACATGTCAGTTTTCAAGTTTGAGATATGATGAATGGTGATTTACTCAGCATTCCAATAAAAGAAGTAAGTACTGATTCAATCATTCGTTGCTTATTACGACCATGTTTTCATTGTTTGTATGGTTTCGTTTGAAAATTTCACCAGAACGGATCCCAGGTTTTTTTTTGCATTTCTTCAGGGTAACTTGCTAAAACGATTGGTTTCCCCTTAATGCACCCAAGTAGGCAAACCATCAGAATAGGGTATGATAGAGGGTCCGCTTTTTATTATTTTTTCAGCAAAAGAAAACCCATAAAACTTGTCAAAGATCGCCTTATACTTAATTAAGAAAGCGTAAGAACCATTTATGTCATACGTCCCAAGATGGAACAAAATTATTTAAACACAATACGTTACTTAAAGTTTTAAGAGGACACAATCACTCGGACGACCTTTACCAAGGATGATGTAAATGAAAAAAAAATCAGTTCAGTTACAGTATTAATGAGTTTGTTGGAGAAGAAGTATGTCAGCTACGCCCTACATTCCTGTAGTATTGGCAGCCTGCCAAGAGTTCATATCAAATCTTACGGTCGAAAAAAAAATCGCGATACTTAATTTTTAAGTTCCTAAAGTTCGGGGGAAACCCTAAAAACTATCATTGGTTTTGTACAGTTACATGCTTGCTTTAGCAATTTATCATGATTGAACGAACATCAGCCTACCTGTGTATGCAGAAAACAGTTCCCCGTCGCTGAAAGTCTGGGCATTTCCCTCGCCCACGACCGTAGACACATCTATTAGATACTCTGTGCTCGGCATCAGTCCTTCAAGGAAGACCGATGTCATGTTTGGATAGAGGTACCCCACCTCCGTAAAGTTACCAAGCTCATTCGCTCTCTCAAAGGCGACGTAGTACCAGTCAAACATGGTTTCGTTGCCTGGGTCGTACCAGTCGATTACGAGGGAGGTCAGTTGTCTGTTGGTAGTCTTTATGTTGACTGGTGGTAACGGACCTGAAGGATAATCATATGAGGAATCGTTCACGCATGATTACATTCATAAATTTAAAGAATCCCCCCTATAAAAAAAATATATATATATATATATATAATAACAAATAAATAAATAAATAAATGCATATGTAAATACAATCTTAAAATATCTGTATTATAACAGTTTTTGTTTTAATTATATTGGGGGAATATTACTTTAGCTTATCAGATTAATTATCTCATGAAATTTGCTGACATTTTATATGCACAACACTTTCTAGTCTAAATCTTATCTCTTACGTGTGTACTGCTGAAGGGTTTCGCACACACCATCCTGATCAATGAAGACGTTGTATTTCTGACCAGATTGGAGGTCTGTGATGTTAGAAATCTCGCTGCCGTTGCCAAGAGCAAAGAGGGTTTCATTCTCGCACGCAGTCTTGCTCTCGTCATCCAGGTTGAATCGTATGTAATTGTAATCCTGCGTGCTGTGGTACCATCCGAACTGAAAAGAATCCGCAGATAGTGCAGTAACTGCAACATTGCCATTTGCAGGAGATTCTAGAACGAAGAAGCAAAAGGAAAAATGATGGAAAGTCATACGTTACTGACATAATTTGTTATAGGCAAACCCACCAGTGTATAAGGATTACACGTTTGGCTTCCCATTGAAATCTGGACCAATGGAACCTGTACCTAAAGACCACCTGTTCATAGAGGTCACTTTTCTTGTCTTCCTTCATTATATAGGCTTCACCCTACATCTTATAAAACGCTGTGTTTTGTTTATAACCTGGTGAAAGCTTAGATAAGACCTAATATGAATTAAAAAGAATAATGTGTTCGCACCTCCTCAGTAATTGGCAACTTATTGGGACACTAACTGATCAAATACACTGGACTCGTCCTTATACTGGACAAGTGATAACCCTTAATCAAATACATCTAAAGCTGTGAAAGCTACAAAGTACTGGACAAAAATTACATTCAAAAGTACTTAGCAGTAAATTGAAACCTGTATACAGAGACCGATAAAGGGAGACAATGTTAGTGTTCTTTAAATGCGGGCGGTCTAAGGGAAACACGGATCGTGATCTTCCTGTTCATGTGGTTTTCTTTAAATACAGATGGTCATGGCAGAACAAAATAATTTATTTTGATTCAGATATAACCACCTAAACAAATTGACTACATATTGAATAAGTATCCAACATATTCTGCCTGACAAAGAACAGTTCAAACAAATATATTCCACATATTTTACAATTTCCCGGGGATTCAAATTGCAAAATTGTAATCTAAAGGTAGATTTAGATGTTGCACTTACATATTGGTAGGTGGTCTGTTTATACCAGACTGATAAGAAAGAAGTAGTATGCTTTTAACTAAGGCTTAGCAATCGGGGGACCAATGGCTTCAGGTTTTCTCCGAGGGAAAATTGGTGCGTCACTTTTTCAAGATTGCTTCGCCCATGTCATGCTAAAAGGCATAACACAATTTAATGAAAAGAATATCTGTATGTATAGATCTCTTGTACACTTCCGTAAGGATTTGTTTTTACATCTAATGGCATGAATACTTCTCATTTTTCAGAATACTTTGACTTATTCTGTGGGGTGAGGTTTCCCGTAAGGACCAATTTATTAGCTATTATCATACTAACCTGTTCTGAAATCGATGTTCCTCGGCTCACTCCTCACATCGAGGGCCCCAAAGACCGTGATCACTGTGACGTGGTAACGGGTGTCCGGATAAATGCCGATGAAGGAAAATTCAACCCTGGTTTGGTTCTTGGTGATGTCGCTCCGGTAGATGTGGGCTGGAGAGTCGGTGAAGCCATGGTCCGGACTGTAGGTCACTTCAAAGAAATCGTAATTTCCTTCAGGGATATCCCAGGTCACTTGACCAGCGCAAGAGGAGATGCTACCCAAAGAAAGATTGGCAGGGCTAAAGGGTACTAGATTGGTGGTGCAAGGTAAAAATATCAGAGGTGAAAATTTCAGATGTAAACATTTTAGAGGTAAAAATGTCAGAAGTAAACATATCTGACGAAAAATCTCAAAGGTAAAAATGTCAGAGCTCAAAATGTCAGAGGTTAAAATGTCAGAGGTAAAAATATCTGCGGAAATAATTTCCGAGGTTATAATAGCAGAGGTACAACAAATTTATGATTAAGTTTTGTTGCGCAAATATTAATGTTTCAGTTGAGGCAAGATTGGCCCAATTTCATTTTGCAGGACATTGACTTGTGTGTCCCAACCGCACCAAATGTCAGTTTTCAAGTTTGAGATATGATGAATGGTGATTTACTCAGCATTCCAATAAAAGAAGTAAGTACTGATTCAATCATTCGTTGCTTATTACGACCATGTTTTCATTGTTTGTATGGTTTCGTTTGAAAATTTCACCAGAACGGATCCCAGGTTTTTTTTTGCATTTCTTCAGGGTAACTTGCTAAAACGATTGGTTTCCCCTTAATGCACCCAAGTAGGCAAACCATCAGAATAGGGTATGGTAGAGGGTCCGCTTTTTATTATTTTTTCAGCAAAAGAAAACCCATAAAACTTGTCAAAGATCGCCTTATACTTAATTAAGAAAGCTTAAGAACCATTTATGTCATACGTCCCAAGATGTAACAAAATTATTTAAACACAATACGTTACTTAAAGTTTTAAGAGGACACAATCACTCGGACGACCTTTACCAAGGATGATGTAAATGAAAAAAAAATCAGTTCAGTTACAGTATTAATGAGTTTGTTGGAGAAGAAGTATGTCAGCTACGCCCTACATCCCTGTAGTATTGGCAGCCTGCCAAGAGTTCATATCAAATCTTACGGTCAAAAAAAAAATTGCGATACTTAATTTTTAAGTTCCTAAAGTTCGGGGGAAACCCTAAAAACTATCATTGATTTTGTACAGTTACATGCTTGCTTTAGCAATTCATCATGATTGAACGAACATCCCGGCCCCCCCCCCCCACTCAGTGTTATTTAGGGTACGCGTATGCTTGTACCCTCTTTTTGAAAAGACCCCCTATCTGAGCACTGCCAACATTTCCGAACCCCCCCTTTCGCGGGCTTTTCACGGGCTTTTCCTGCCTTGGAGACCCCCCTAAATCCGGAACGCTGCTCAATGTACCCCCCCTATCTCAGGACATGCAGACACCCCCCCCCCCCCCCCCTCTCATCTCAGATAAGCTGTCATTACTGGTTTGCACTTCTTCAAGTTCAAGTTCTTCTTCTTGATCATTTTGAAGCACAATTTTGTTTAGGGCTTCAATATTACACCATATCCGACAGACACTGATAACATGAAGGGCCTTGCATCTCAGATTTAACATTGTTAAACGATCCCTTTAATACACAGCCAGGAATACTAATGCAGCTGTGTGTGAATTAGGGTAGCCTACACTACAGTACAAAACTACATACTACTAGGTCTAGATTTAAGTCCCACATATTCATTTTCATGGCTGTAGGAAAATGAGTTTGAAAGTGTTATTATTGCGATCAAACTATAGGGCAAACTACTCACCTGAATGTGCCACCCTGTGAGCCACATGTAGACAGCCACAATATCCACAACGAGGAGACTGTGGGTCCTGCTCAAAGACGTCCCAATCTTGACAATTTTGGCAGGGCCCACGCCTAATAGCCCATCTTGATGCCCCGGCTTGATGCCGAGCCTAGCCCGATATGCATGATGAGCGCGCCGTACAGACTGTACGTTCTGTTGTTATCTCTCTCTCTCTCTCACACAGATTTTGAGAAGTCCGTACTGCCCCTGTACTGGGACGGGAGTGCATGGGACTCAATGTTTTTACTTTTCATAATGAAATAATCCTGAATGAGCTTTCAAAACTAGCAGGAATTTCTGAAATCTGATCGCGGGATTTCATCAATTTTTCTATGTTCAACTTCAAGATTTTTTATAACCCCCTTTTTTAATTACAAAGAGATGAGAGAAAAACACCCCTTTTTTAAAGAAATCTCCGGGTGAAAGTCAAATACACCCCCTTTTTTTACATTTCTCGGGCCGGACTTTGTCGCACGAAAAGTACCCCTTTACCGGACATTTTGGCAACACGCATGCGGTCATTTCCAAACCTGAGTGGGGGGGGGGGGCCGGGACGAACATCAGCCTACCTGTGTATGCAGAAAACAGTTCCCCGTCGCTGAAAGTCTGGGCATTTCCCTCGCCCACGACCGTAGACACATCGATTAGGTACTCTGTGCTCGGCATCAGTCCTTCAAGGAAGACCGAGGTCATGTTCGAATAGAGGTACCCCACCTCCGTAAAGTTACCAAGTTCATTCGCTCTCTCAAAGGCGACGTAGTACCAGTCAAACATGGTTTCGTTGCCTGGGTCGTACCAGTCGATTACGAGGGAGGTCAGTTGTCTGTTGGTAGTCTTTATGTTGACTGGTGGTAACGGACCTGAAGGATAATCATATGAGGAATCGTTCACGCATGATTACATTCATAAATTTAAAGAATCCCCCCTATAAAAAAATATATATATATATAATAACAAATAAATAAATAAATAAATGCATATGTAAATACAATCTTAAAATATCTGTGTTATGGCAGTTTTTGTTTTAATTATATTGGGGGAATATTACTTTAGCTTATCAGATTAATTATCTCATGAAATTTGCTGACATTTTATATGCACAACACTTTCTTGTCTAAATCTTATCTCTTACGTGTGTACTGCTGAAGGGTTTCGCACACACCATCCTGATCAATGAAGACGTTGTATTTCTGACCAGATTGGAGGTCTGTGATGTTAGAAATCTCGCTGCCGTTGCCAAGAGCAAAGAGGGTTTCATTCTCGCACGCAGTCTTGTTCTCGTCATCCAGGTTGAATCGTATGTAATTGTAATCCTGCGTGCTGTGGTACCATCCGAACTGAAAAGAATCTGCAGATAGTGCAGTAACTGCAACATTGCCATTTGCAGGAGATTCTAGAACGAAGAAGCAAAAGGAAAAATGATGGAAAGTCATACGTTACTGACATAATTTGTTATAGGCAAACCCACCAGTGTATAAGGATTACACGTTTGGCTTCCCATTGAAATCTGGACCAATGGAACCTGTACCTAAAGACCACCTGTTCATAGAGGTCACTTTTCTTGTCTTCCTTCATTATATAGGCTTCACCCTACATCTTATAAAACGCTGTGTTTTGTTTATAACCTGGTGAAAGCTTAGATAAGACCTAATATGAATTAAAAAGAATAATGTGTTCGCACCTCCTCAGTAATTGGCAACTTATTGGGACACTAACTGATCAAATACACTGGACTCGTCCTTATACTGGACAAGTGATAACCCTTAATCAAATACATCTAAAGCTGTGAAAGCTACAAAGTACTGGACAAAAATTACATTCAAAAGTACTTAGCAGTAAATTGAAACCTGTATACAGAGACCGATAAAGGGAGACAATGTTAGTGTTCTTTAAATGCGGGCGGTCTAAGGGAAACACGGATCGTGATCTTCCTGTTCATGTGGTTTTCTTTAAATACAGATGGTCATGGCAGAACAAAATAATTTATTTTGATTCAGATATAACCACCTAAACAAATTGACTACATATTGATTAAGTATCCAACATATTCTGCCTGACAAAGAACAGTTCAAACAAATAAATTCCACATATTTTACAATTTCCCGGGGATTCAAATTGCAAAATTGTAATCTAAAGGAAGATTTAGATGTTGCACTTACATATTGGTAGGTGGTCTGTTTATACCAGACTGATAAGAAAGAAGTAGTATGCTTTTAACTAAGGCTTAGCAATCGGGGGACCAATGGCTTCAGGTTTTCTCCGAGGGAAAATTGGTGCGTCACTTTTTCAAGATTGCTTCGCCCATGTCATGCTAAAAGGCATAACACAATTTAATGAAAAGAATATCTGTATGTATAGATCTCTTGTACACTTCCGTAAGGATTTGTTTTTACATCTAATGGCATGAATACTTCTCATTTTTCAGAATACTTTGACTTATTCTGTGGGGTGAGGTTTCCCGTAAGGACCAATTTATTAGCTATTATCATACTAACCTGTTCTGAAATCGATGTTCCTCGGCTCACTCCTCACATCAAGGGCCCCAAAGACCGTGATCACTGTGACGTGGTAACGGGTGTCCGGATAAATGCCGATGAAGGAAAATTCAACCCTGGTTTGGTTCTTGGTGATGTCGCTCCGGTAGATGTGGGCTGGAGAGTCGGTGAAGCCATGGTCCGGACTGTAGGTCACTTCAAAGAAATCGTAATTTCCTTCAGGGATATCCCAGGTCACTTGACCAGCGCAAGAGGAGATGCTACCCAAAGACAGATTGGCAGGGCTAAAGGGTACTAGATTGGTGGTGCAAGGTAAAAATATCAGAGGTGAAAATTTCAGATGTAAACATTTTAGAGGTAAAAATGTCAGAAGTAAACATATCTGACGAAAAATCTCAAAGGTAAAAATGTCAGAGCTCAAAATGTCAGAGGTTAAAATGTCAGAGGTAAAAATATCTGCGGAAATAATTTCCGAGGTTATAATAGCAGAGGTACAACAAATTTATGATTAAGTTTTGTTGCGCAAATATTAATGTTTCAGTTGAGGCAAGATTGGCCCAATTTCATTTTGCAGGACATTGACTTGTGTGTCCCAACCGCACCAAATGTCAGTTTTCAAGTTTGAGATATGATGAATGGTGATTTACTCAGCATTCCAATAAAAGAAGTAAGTACTGATTCAATCATTCGTTGCTTATTACGACCATGTTTTCATTGTTTGTATGGTTTCGTTTGAAAATTTCACCAGAACGGATCCCAGGTTTTTTTTTGCATTTCTTCAGGGTAACTTGCTAAAACGATTGGTTTCCCCTTAATGCACCCAAGTAGGCAAACCATCAGAATAGGGTATGGTAGAGGGTCCGCTTTTTATTATTTTTTCAGCAAAAGAAAACCCATAAAACTTGTCAAAGATCGCCTTATATAATTAAGAAAGCTTAAGAACCATTTATGTCATACGTCCCAAGATGTAACAAAATTATTTAAACACAATACGTTACTTAAAGTTTTAAGAGGACACAATCACTCGGACGACCTTTACCAAGGATGATGTAAATGAAAAAAAAATCAGTTCAGTTACAGTATTAATGAGTTTGTTGGAGAAGAAGTATGTCAGCTACGCCCTACATCCCTGTAGTATTGGCAGCCTGCCAAGAGTTCATATCAAATCTTACGGTCAAAAAAAAAATTGCGATATTTAATTTTTAAGTTCCTAAAGTTCGGGGGAAACCCTAAAAACTATCATTGATTTTGTACAGTTACATGCTTGCTTTAGCAATTTATCATGATTGAACGAACATCCCGGCCCCCCCCCCCCCCACTCAGTGTTATTTAGGGTACGCGTATGCTTGTACCCTCTTTTTGAAAAGCACTGCCAACATTTCCGAACCCCCCCTTTCGCGGGCTTTTCACGGGCTTTTCCTGCCTTGGAGACCCCCCTAAATCCGGAACGCTGCTCAATGTACCCCCCCTATCTCAGGACATGCAGACACCCCCCCCCCCCCCCCCCCCTCTCATCTCAGATAAGCTGTCATTACTGGTTTGCACTTCTTCAAGTTCAAGTTCTTCTTCTTGATCATTTTGAAGCACAATTTTGTTTAGGGCTTCAATATTACACCATATCACAGACACTGATAACATGAAGGGCCTTGCATCTCAGATTTAACATTGTTAAATGATCCCTTTAATACACAGCCAGGAATACTAATGCAGCTGTGTGTGAATTAGGGTAGCCTACACTACAGTACAAAACTACATACTACTAGGTCTAGATTTAAGTCCCACATATTCATTTTCATGGCTGTAGGAAAATGAGTTTGAAAGTGTTATTATTGCGATCAAACTATAGGGCAAACTACTCACCTGAATGTGCCACCCTGTGAGCCACATGTAGACAGCCACAATATCCACAACGAGGAGACTGTGGGTCCTGCTCAAAGACGTCCCAATCTTGACAATTTTGGCAGGGCCCACGCCTAATAGCCCATCTTGATGCCCCGGCTTGATGCCGAGCCTAGCCCGATATGCATGATGAGCGCGCCGTACAGACTGTACGTTCTGTTGTTATCTCTCTCTCTCTCTCTCTCTCACACAGATTTTGAGAAGTCCGTACTGCCCCTGTACTGGGACGGGAGTGCATGGGACTCAATGTTTTTACTTTTCATAATGAAATAATCCTGAATGAGCTTTCAAAACTAGCAGGAATTTCTGAAATCTGATCGCGGGATTTCATCAATTTTTCTATGTTCAACTTCAAGATTTTTTATAACCCCCTTTTTTAATTACAAAGAGATGAGAGAAAAACACCCCTTTTTTAAAGAAATCTCCGGGTGAAAGTCAAATACACCCCCTTTTTTTACATTTCTCGGGCCGGACTTTGTCGCACGAAAAGTACCCCTTTACCGGACATTTTGGCAACACGCATGCGGTCATTTCCAAACCTGAGTGGGGGGGCCGGGACGAACATCAGCCTACCTGTGTATGCAGAAAACAATTCCCCGTCGCTGAAAGTCTGAGCATTTCCCTCGCCCACGACCGTAGACACATCGATTAGGTACTCTGTGCTCGGCATCAGTCCTTCAAGGAAGACCGAGGTCATGTTCGAATAGAGGTACCCCACCTCCGTAAAGTTACCAAGTTCATTCGCTCTCTCAAAGGCGACGTAGTACCAGTCAAACATGGTTTCGTGGCCTGGGTCGTACCAGTCGATTACGAGGGAGGTCAGTTGTCTGTTGGTAGTCTTTATGTTGACTGGTGGTAACGGACCTGAAGGATAATCATATGAGGAATCGTTCACGCATGATTACATTCATAAATTTAAAGAATCCCCCCTATAAAAAAAAATCATTAGGAAAACATCTCATTTGAGCTCTGCTCACCAGTTCACCACTTTTCCTGGTGCTACCATAATCTGATAGGAGCACTGACCACTGATAAAGGGATTACCAGTAGGGTCCTTGGGGAGAGAGACAGCGGTCAATCATAGCCTAGTTACTGATAAAGGGATTACCAGCTGGTATCTGATATCCAGTCCAGATTCATAGTCTTCTCATCGCAGACCCTACACCTATATTTATAATAGGCCTGGATTCAGTGTGTCTAAAGTCTCACTTCATATTGTTGTTTTTTAGCAAGTACTAGCTATTTAAAGGTAAAGACCAGTATTGGAAACGCCCCAATTTCAAAAAAGCTCTCATTACCAATCATGTGAAAGAATATGTTTTGACTAATACATGATGATAAAAAATTTGCAGTGAAACCGCCTACTAATTCATATATTTGGTAAATTTGTTTCTCTCATGGTCGTGTGAGAGATATAGGGTAGTCCCATAAACGTCTTTCTGTGTATAGTGCTTGTAACTTTACGGAGAATGGGCCAAATTTCTTATCATTTTGATGATTCCAGAACATTGCAGATGCTAGATGCTAGATGATCAACCTTTTCTGATCGATTCCACAACGTTTCTTTCACAATGCAATCGCATGACCATAACTGGTCTTTACCTTTAAGTTTCTTTTACGTATAGAAGAGAACATTGATGTGCTTGGCAATGGAAAAATGCAGAAGGAAAATATAAAAGGAGGATAAAATAGGGAAAGACGGGTGATAATAAGGAAAGATGGAAATGGAGGGAAAGAAGGAAGATAAAATAAAGAATAGCATAAGGAAAGATGGAAAAGGAAGATAAAAAGTTTAAAAAGAAATACATAAGGAAAGATGGAAACAGAAGATAAAGAAGGTTAGAAAAAAAAGAAATACATAGAGAGAATAAAACAAGGTGAAAATAGAGGAATACATAAGGAAAGATGAAAAAGATAAAATTAGGAGAAATAAAGAATAACATAAGGAAAGATGGAAACAGAAGATAATGAAGGTTAGAAATAAAGAAATACATGAGAAAAGATAGAGAGAATAAAACAAGGTGAAAATAGAGGAATACATAAGGAAAGATGAAAATTAGAAAGACGGAGAAAATAAAGAAGGGCATAAGGAAAGATGGCTAAAGAAGAGAAAATTAGGAGAAAATAAAGAAATATATAATGAAAATTAGAAAAGAGATGTTGAAAGAAGGAGAAAAATAAAGAATAATATCAGCCGAAAGGTATATAGAACAAAGGTGATAATAGTGAAAAACATGAGGAAAGATGGAAAGGAAAGATGGAAAGGAAACATTGAGAAGATAAAGAAGTTAATTGGACAAATAAACTTTTAAAAAACCACCAACCAACTTTGATTGGTCATGTTGCTGCATAATAACCTAAAAAGGGCGACTTGAAATAATCGCACTGTCACAAGTATTTTAGTTTTTCTGCATAAATATAATCATTACCTTAAAACATAAAGGTTAGATGTTTTATGTATTGAACCAAATCATTAATAGGCAAGCTTGCCCAGTACCTCTTTGATCAAACGACACGGCAAATTTTTAAGAACACTAAAAGAAAATACACTGAAAAACGGCCGCTCAGAGTGCCGGGCGTATTCACGATACTGCATGTGGCAAGCTGTTCCGAATTGGGTGGTGGAGTAACGCCTTTAACAGAGGCTATATTTGTCGACCTTGCCCGACTTTCAAATGGAGAATCTCACTTTTCGGTGAACGGGGACCGAAATACCCCACTTGCGTGTCTGGTATTACAGACCGCTTTCTTTCCCGATATCTTCGCGTACACCAAGCTTCGTGAGAATGAGCAATCTCAGAATCTGGATGAATGTTGTCCTTGTAGTGTGAGGTTCATGAGTAATTATTGTTATAAACTCCGACATATAGTATGGATGATAATGTTTGTCAAGTTTATTGCGGACTATGTCATCCTCATAAAAGTATTAGATCAAGTAAAAAGGCTTCAATTAAAATAGTTAAAGATGACCAGAAATCATTTCGATGTTATGATATTTTTGACGCACTTCTCGTCATGATATTGAATTTATAACATACAACGAAATGAGGACATCATAATCATAAAGACGTTCGTTGTGCAGATATGTATTTGCTTATTAATACATACAGTGACAAAAAGAATAATGCACTATAATCATGAGCAAAAAACCAAGAGGTTTCGGAGAATGGTAAAAAATCATTCGAGCAGTCAATTAAATTCAACAATTCAACAATCTTAAGTATCAAAAAGTGAAAAGGTTTAACTGTCATGATAAAAATGAGCTTTTCATAGAGATTTATTATACAAATGAGCATTGAAATGTTTCTTTAACGAACTGCTATAAAATTTTGAAACCAAATACTCTTGTGCTGAAATTTCATATCCTCAGTATCGAGAAGCATAATGTTCCATTATGGTTGCATCAACTATTGTAAAATAGATTAAGTCCTTCGATGTCTTGTAATGCCTTAATTACTCAGCTAATTATTATCTTTCTAAAGGATTGTAGATTTGAGAGTTTCTGTTTCTTTCGTGTTACATGCAATGGACATTCAATCATCACGGCTTGATGTATTGTGGGGAAATAAATATTGTATCCTATACAACATGGCAAATTTTTAAGAACACTAAAAGAAAATACACTGAAAAACGGCCGCTCAGAGTGCCGGGCGCATTCACGATACTGCATGTGGCAAGCTGTTCCGAATTGGGTGGTGGAGTAACGCCTTTAACAGAGGCTATATTTGTCGACCTTACCCGACTTTCAAATGGAGAATCTCACTTTTCGGTGAACGGGGACCGAAATACCCCACTTGCGTGTCTGGTATTACAGACCGCTTTCTTTCCCGATATCTTCGCGTACACCAAGCTTCGTGAGAATGAGCAATCTCAGAATCTGGATGAATGTTGTCCTTGTAGTGTGAGGTTCATGAGTAATTATTGTTATAAACTACGACATATAGTATGGATGATAATGTTTGTCAAGTTTATTGCGGACTATGTCATCCTCATAAAAGTATTAGATCAAGTAAAAAGGCTTCAATTAAAATAGTTAAACATGACCAGAAATCATTTTGATGTTAAGATATTTTTGACAATTTTAGACAATATCATATTTAATTGTGTCCATGTACTATATCGAACTAGACAATTATGATGAAACTTGAAAGGAACATAATTATAACCAGGAAGTTCCTGATATAACTATGCTTATAAAGTGAAGCAAGGAAGATGAAACTGGCATCTCCCATGTATACCGGTAGCTATGAGAATGGACATAATCCGAACCTATATGAGACTGCGAATAAGACTAGAACATCATGGAGGAGTTCCAAGCAGTACTCATCAAGGTTGGGCTGGTGATGTCCTGGCAAAGTTTGTTTACACTGCAGATTAGGGACTCTAACTCTCTCTTGCTCTGTGGTGAGCTTACCACCAAAATGCACCCCACTTTCGGGTCCAAAGTGGGGTGAAGTTTAAATGGACTGTTTTCGTCATGATATATATATAATAACAAATAAATAAATAAATAAATGCATATGTAAATACAATCTTAAAATATCTGTGTTATGGCAGTTTTTGTTTTAATTATATTGGGGGAATATTACTTTAGCTTATCAGATTAATTATCTCATGAAATTTGCTGACATTTTATATGCACAACACTTTCTAGTCTAAATCTTATCTCTTACGTGTGTACTGCTGAAGGGTTTCGCACACACCATCCTGATCAATGAAGACGTTGTATTTCTGACCAGATTGGAGGTCTGTGATGTTAGAAATCTCGCTGCCGTTGCCAAGAGCAAAGAGGGTTTCATTCTCGCACGCAGTCTTGTTCTCGTCATCCAGGTTGAATCGTATGTAATTGTAATCCTGCGTGCTGTGGTACCATCCGAACTGAAAAGAATCTGCAGATAGTGCAGTAACTGCAACATTGCCATTTGCAGGAGATTCTAGAACGAAGAAGCAAAAGGAAAAATGATGGAAAGTCATACGTTACCGACATAATTTGTTACTAGACCAACCCCACCAGTGTATAAAGACCACATGTTTTGCTTCCCATTGAAACATGAATTAAAGGAACTTGTGAGTAAAGGCCATCTGATCAAAGAAGCCCCTTTTTCTTGTCTTCCCTCAGGGGTCTTTCTTCAGTCAAACATGCTGTCTAGAAAGATTACCTGTCCATAAAACACTACATTTTTAATTTCCCATGAATATAGGTTCTCATTGAAATCTTTACCAAAGAAACCTGTTCACAAAGACCACCTGTTCATAGAGGTCACTTTTCTTGTCTCCCTTCATTATTTTAGTTTCACCCTACATGTTACCAAACGCCGAATTTTGATAATAACCTGGTGAAATCTTAGATCAGACCTAATTAATGTGTGCACAGAAAGAAAAAAAAATGCTTTATTTTGATTCAGACATATCCACCTAAACAAATTACATATTAATTTAGTGTTTCTTTCTGCATTATCTGCCTGGGAGAGAACAGTTTTACAAATAATTTCCACATATTTTAAAATTTCCCGGGTATTGAAATTGCAAAATTGTGATCTAAAGGTACTTTTAGATGTTGTACTGACATATTGGTAGATGTTCTGTTTTTACCAGACTGGTAAGAAAGCAGGAGTACAAAGAGATTTGACACTTTGAAATTGTTATCTGTTGGTTTGCATCATTATTGCCGCGATTATAGTTTCGTGAATAGATTTACGAAACCTGAGCTTAGAATTAGTAAAAGTATTACTAATGTCTACGTTTTTAAACGACTGTCTGATTTTCTTGTGAAAATTTTACTTTGAAAAATGATTATCGAAATTCATGGTCAGAAATAATCACAATCTAGGGTCTATTATGTTCTCGCATCAAATCAATGCCTGAAAACTGAGTTATTGAACTAGAATTTTTTTTATTTTTTTTAAATAGGCAATTATGAAGTAGGAATTAAGCCTGAAACCTTAGCCTACTAAACAAATCTGAACAAAGTGTAGGCCTATCCTTTTATGAATTAATGAAAAAGTAGCCCCAGAAAAAAGAGCCCTGAAAGTTGAAAAAGTAGCCCCCGAAAATTTCCCAAAAGTTTGAAATGGAGCCCCCGAAATGAAAAACTTAATTTTTTGCCTGCACCCCCCTCTAGAATCCCTTGGATTTCCGCGGTCCTGAGTTGAGTGTATATATAATATAGGCGTGGGGTCCACGGGTTTCAAGGGGCCATAAACCTCCAAAAGCTCGGGGGTTACGTTCTTCAAATTGGGGGGGGGGGGGAGAGATCAGATCGCAGCGAGTTGAGTGTATCGGGGGGTTTAGGCGTTTAATTAGGGTCAGATGAGCATATTTTTAATACTTTATTTGTGACACTTGCGGGTTACTAATTGACATGGGGTCAATACGTAGAGTTGCGTAGTGTTGCGTACCAACTACGCTGGCCTACGTTACTATATGCTGAGGGACGGAAAGGGGTACGCAAGATGAACGAAAACAATTCAACATGTGTAATATTTTTTGCTTACTTTCGGCGTAGAAACTTGACGCAGAAAGTATGCCTTTTTACGCAACACTACGCTACATGCCTACGCAACAGTACGCTACCCTACGCCAGATCGACAAAGCAGTAAAAGCTTTCCACACAGTAAGCAACCATAAGCAAACCTGTACGCCAGCCTACGCATAACCTACGCAGGGACTATTTTCCCATTAATACGCAGCCTAATTTCTGCGTAGCCGGTACACCACACTACGAAACTCAACGCAGTTCCAGTGGCTTAAAGAATAACTACCGGTACAGTTGTATCGTTTTTTGTTTTTTTATATAAGGCCAAATTTAAAAAAAAACATGTTTAGCGTCCTGCTTTTTCGAAAAATGAGAAGGAGGAGGCCCTTTTTTTTTTTTTTCTTTCAAAATGGCCGCTCCGTACGTTTTCCCTGACATTCGGGCTATTTTTCAAGATGGCGGCCGACATTTAAAATTTTTTTTTTTTTAAAATCAGAAAATAAATTTTAGCAGTGCTTTTCATGTTTGTTTTCTTTCAAAAAATTTCAAAAAATTTCAACAAAAAAAAAATGGGAGGCAGCCCCCAAAAAGGAAGCGGGCGGGGACGCTGTTTTTTTCCCTTTCGAAAAAAAAAAAAAAATTAAACAAATTTAAAAAAAAAAAAAAATTGGGGGGCGGCCCCCAAAAAGGAAGCGGGCGGGGACGTTAAACATGTAAATTTTTTTTAATGGCCTGAATGGCAAATAAAGTTCTTAGTGGTTTTAATTTAGACAGTCTCTATATATCTATTTACACCCCCCGCCCCCCTCTATAATCCCGCGGATTTCCGCGGGTCCTGCTAGTGCTTGTATATAAGCCTTATATTAATCAGGTTTTAGGTCTTCTTCGAGGGACAAATGGTGCATCACATTTTCAAGATGGCTGCGCCCATATTTCTTGCTAAAAGGCATAAAATCATGCAAAGAATATCTATATATATATATGTATATATATATATATATATATACATCTAAGGGCAAGAATACATCTAAGGGCAAGAATACATCTCATTTTTTTCAGAATACTTCCACTTATTCTGTGAGGTGAGGTTTCCTTTAAGTCTTACCTGAAGGAACAATTCATTAGCTACTATCGTACCAACCTGTTTTAAAAGAGATGTGCGAGGGGTTACTCCTTGAATGGAGCGACGAATTAAGGACCGTGACCACTGTGACGTTGTAAAACGTGTCCGGCAGAATGCCGATGAAGGTAAATTCAACCGGCCTCGTGTGGTTCGTGGTGGTTGGGTAGATGTGAGTTGGAGAGCTGGTGAAGCCATGGTCCGGACTGTAGGTCACTTCAACGAATTCGAAACTTGAGACATAAGGGATATAGATCACTTGACCAGCACACGAGGAGATGCTGCCCAAAGACAGTCTCATGGGCTCTAGATTGGTGGTGCCGGGTGAAAATGTCAGAGGTAAAAATGTCAGAGGTTAAAATGTCAGAGGTAAAAATATCAGAGGTAAAAATGTCAGAGGCAAAAATAAGTGAAACAAAATAATGTCAGTGGTAATAATTTCAAAGGTACAACAAAAAAGTCAGAGGTAAAATAATATGTCGGGGTAAAAATCAGTGCATGCCGTCATAATAGCACTTTTTCACACAAAATGTCAAGACGTAATTTACTGGGCTTGTCTATCATATTTCCTTCTTCCATGGCTTCCATATCATAATGTATATTTCGTAAATTACTGTGTACTGTACTTCGTACATGTCCTGCATAATACAATGTGAACACAAACATTGAAACTTATATTTTGTAATCAGGTTTGCATTTATACGTGATTTTCTAATATTTTCGATATTTTAAATTTGTTGAGGTTTTAATGTTTTTTTAGGTTTGAGGAAGAATTGGCTGCCGACCTATTTTGAACTCGCCGCCCAATGACCGACTGATCTCCCAGGGCCGAACGGGCGGCGACAGCTCGATCGACAGCCTTTGACCTAGCGGCGATTTTTGATCTAGATCGCTCGACGGCGACCGCTCGATTAGGTCGGTGCCTGGGCGGCGAGTGAAAAGTGAGCAGGCGCCGCCGAATTTTAACTCTGCTCTAAAACTTCAGCGGCGACCGAGCGATATGCCCTTAAAACAAGCGGTGCCCGGGCGCCGAAGAGGCTACTTTTTGGGGTTGTGACCATAGCTTTTAACAAGTGTAAGCCCTACAAAGCAGTATGAAATCCAATTATGATGATCTTTTGTGCATCTAATAATGTTTTAGGTGGGGCAAGCTTGGCCCGATTTCATATTGCAGGACATTGACTTGTGTGTCCCAACTGCAATAAATATGTTTCAGTTTCCGATTTGATGAATGATGCTTAACTCGATCAGCATTCTAATAAATAAAGTATGTACTCATGTAATCATTCGTTGCTTTGCCCAAAATTTTAGATTCAAAATCCGTTGCGATGTAAAGCTAACACAAGCAGAATCATTTTTTATTGAAATTGACAACTCGAATCTCAAAAATGTAATTAGCTATTATCGCCCCTTTTCTTTACTCCCAAGTATATCAAAAGTCTGAGAAAAAATGTTTATACTAGGCTATATAAATTTATCAACAAACACAATATACTTAATTCAAATCAATATGACATAGCATTAATTCAAATTTATGAAAAAATTACAAGCGCGAATACTAACAAAGACCATGTTATTGGTATATTCTGTGACCTGAGTAAAGCGTTTGATACGCTCAATCACGTTATCCTTCTTTCCAAACTCAGTAATTATGGGATTCGAAGTCAATCAATCTCATGGTTCAGTAGAGGTGTCATGGTCGAGTAAATACGTAACCAGACTGTCGATTACAAGGTCCGCGGTTCGAGTCCCGCCATGGCACTATACTGTCCTTTTGGCAAGACATTGATCTCAGTGCAATTGCCACACTCAACCCAGGTGAGGTAAATGGGTACCTGGTAGGATTATTCCTTGAAATGCACTGTGCACTGATAATACTGCCGGAGCTAAAGCTAGGCCAATTTCCAAAGCTCTTTGGAAGCGCATAGAGATGTTATTTCCTGACGTAATATGCGCTATACAAGAACTGAGCTATCATCATTATTATTATGATTTAAAGATTATTTATCAAACAGAAGACAATATGTTGCATTCAATGGATATAATTCTGATTCCTTATGGTGTCTCTCAATGCTCCACTCTGGGCCCCCTTTTATTTCTGCTCTATGCCAATATCAATACATCCACCCTTCTTTCTTTTTGTGCTATTTGCTGACGACACAAATATCCTTTGTTCTCTTAAAGACCTTAACTCATTAAACGATATCTTAAATCATGAAATTGATAAAGTATCAGACTGGTTTAAGTCCAATAAAGTTTCTCTTAATATTAAAAAAAAAGACTCATTTCGTGTATTTCAAACATCATTCTCACAATAGGGACCCATCGGTATATATTGAGATCGATGATATGACAATAGAGATGAAGACTAAGTCTAAGTTTTTGGGTGTAATTATAGATGAAGCTTTGACATGGAATGACCATCTGCACCACGTATACACTGAGCATTTCGAAAAGCATTGGGATAATTTCCAGGTTAAACGTTTTTTCTACACCATGCAACCGTATGCTTATTATATAATACGCTAGTAGTCCCATACATAACATATTGCAACATCGTATGGGCTAATTGCTGTTCGACTAAAATCAAATCTATTTTTAAATTACAAAAGAGAGCTATCCGTACAGGATCACATTATTGGGCTCACACTGGCCCATTATTCTCTAAACTTAGAACACTAAAAAAAAAATTATTTGAATACTATTCAAATAGCAGTTATTATGTTCAAGTATATCAATAAACAACTTCCACCATCCTTTGATAACATGTTTAGTTTCGATTGTTCTCAGGCTGTTCATTCCTACCCCACTCGCATATCTAGAAATTTCCACCTAACTAACCCTAAATGAATAATAACGCACAAATCTATTAGACATTTTGGTTCGGATCAGGGGCGTAAATCCGGGGGGGGGGGATGGGGGGCTGCATCCCCCTGGCTTGAAGTAAGGGGGGTGCCCTGTAAAAACATCCCCCCCCTGATATTACAAAAAAAAAAGAGAAAAAAAGGAAGAAGAAGAAGAAAAAAATGTGATTGTTTCAATTTCAGCATAGTGCATGAGAAATTAGTTTTTTTTTAAATGTATGTATAACTGTATAGCCTACACGTATACAGTATGTCACGATCGTTAAGAGTAGTTGCGCGACGTGCGCAAACAAGCACTTCATAAACTTCAGAATAGTTTTTCGTTATTTTGCAAGGTATTATTATAGCCCAGACGTAAAGTGCGCCAGCGCGCGAGCGCTTAAAAAGTGCAATCTTGTACAGTAGATGCCCGGCTCCCCCACTTAGTATTACTTAGGGTACGCGTATGCTCGTTCCCTCCCTTTGAAAGCACCCCCCCCCCCCCCCAACCCTATTTCAGGACTGCCAACATTTCTGAATCCCCCTTTCGACGGCTTTTCGCTGGCTTTTTCTGCCTTGGAGACCCCCCCCCCCTAAATCCGGAACACTGCTAAATGTACCACCCCCCCCCCCCCCCCCCAATTTCAGGTGAGTTCTAGTCGATCGAGGGGGCCTTGGGGCCAATGCTTTTACTTTTCAAAATGAAATAATCCTGAATGAGCTTTCAAAGCTAGCAGGAATTTCAGGAATTTGATCCCGGGATTTGATCAATTTTTCTATGATATTCAAGATATTTTATAACCTCCTTTTTACATTTCTCAGGAGTCCAAAGAGAGAGAGAAAAAAAAAACCATCCCCCTTTTAAAGAAATTAGGAGTCGAGAATGGTACAACGAATCGTCTTCTTTCTCTAATGATTTAATGAAACGTATAGCTTCCGCGCAAAGCGCGGGAGGGGGAGGGGGGAACTGAATTCAGACGAGGATTAAGAGTCGAGAACGGAACAACGAATCGTCTTCTTTCTCTAATGATTTAATGAAACGTAAAAGCTTCCGCGCAAAGCGCGGGAGGGGGGGGGGGGGGACTGAATTCAGACGAGGATTAAGAGTCGAGAACAGTACAATAAATCGTCTTTTTTCTCTAATGATTCTTTGAAACGTAAAAGCTTCCCCGCTTCGCGCGGGCGGGGAAGGGAAAAATTGAATTCAGATGAGGATTAAAAGTCGAGAACGGTACAACGAATCGTCTTCTTTCTCTAATGATTTAATGAAACGTAATAGCTTCCGCGCTTCGCAGAGGAGAGAGGGGGGAGAAAGAGAAAAACTGAATTCAGATGAGGATTAAAAGTCGAGAACGGTACAACGAATCGTCTTCTTTCTCTAATGATTTAATGAAACGTAAAAGCTTCCGCGCTTCGCGCAGGAGGGGGGAAGGGAAAAACTGAATTCAGATGAGGATTAAAAGTCGAGAACGGTACAACGAATCGTCTTCTTTCTCTAATTATTTAATGAAACGCAAAAGCTTCCGCGCTTCGCGCAGGAGGGGGGAAGGGAAAAACTGAATTCAGATGAGTATTAAAAGTCGAGAACGGTACAACGAATCGTCTTCTTTCTCCAATGATTTAATGATACGTAAAAGCTTCCGCGCTTCGCACGGGAGGGGGGGGGGGAAACTAAATTCAGACGAGGATTATTTTCGAGAACGGTACAACGAATCGTCTTCTTTCTCTAATAGTGTTTGTTGTTTGTTCGTTTGTGTGTGTGCGTGTGTGTGTGTGCGTTTGTGTGTGTGTTGTGTGTTTGTGCGTGCGCGATTGCGCGCGCTTGCGTAAATTAGTGTGGGCGTGTGCTCGTGCTAGTATGTGATGGCTATCGCCGATCATCCCCCCCCCCCCCCACTCGGTACGGATTTACGCCCCTGGTTTGGATATTTGGAATAATTTTCCCGACAACATCAAATCTTATTTAACCCTCCATTCCTTGAAAGCCACACTTAAACGAAAAACAATAGAATCATATGAATCTAAATTAGTACAATAGCTTTGTCTGAAACCATAATTTAACATTTCTTTTACTCAACTGCTGTCTGCTGCACCAGCACCAGCTTTCAATGCACCCACTTGATCACTAGGTTTTACCAAGAGAGTTTTGTTGCTAAATCTTGTTTTTCTTTTTTTTCACGAGGCCGCCATCTATTCCCAGCCTAACCACTCAAGATGGCGGTCTCCTGCGTTCTGAAATTTATTTCTTTAGTTAAATGAAAAGTATATACAAATATATGTTATACTTGTTTGTATGCTTTGTATTATGGTTATTGTATAATATTATTAGACATGATTTGCTATGTATGCAATACTTATGTAAAAATGTATAACCTTGTATTCTTATTTGAACGCAGAAATAAAATAAATCAAACAAACAAATTTACGCCCATGTTCTCATTGTTTGTACGGTTTCGTACAAAAATTGCTCCAGAAGGGATTACGGGTTTCTCTG